GTATGATTTGTAAAACGCGTGCTGTCCGAAAGATGCTCTGTGCTTGCTGCCGAAGAGTATTGTGGTATATTGTGGTAAAGAGTCTTTGTGAAAGTTTATGTGCAAGGAGCAAGGATATATACATACATATATTTGAGATACATATATATATATGCAGATTAACACGAAGAGGAATGAGTGACACCAAAAAACATATTGTATCGTTTTAACTGGGGCCGGTCATAACTTTAGCACCAGCAAGGCCCTCAGTGGCGTAAGGCGACGTGAGGGTTTGGCGTAAGCTTACCACCAACTTGTTGCTGCGTAAACTGGGACTGTGTCCGCAGATGAAGACCCCTGAATGGCATGATCCTTGGCTGAACGGGATTTTATCAAGGGTATTTCGAGCCCAAAACAGTATCCGAATATTCGAAAAGATCGTAGATTCCTTCTACACTCCAGCAGTGCACCCTTCAGTCCCCGCCAATTCAAGGCGGTCATTCTTTGCGATCCCTTTTGGCACAATACGCGATTCCTTTGGCTTCCAGTTTTGTTTGCTGTTAGATCTGTTAGCAGCGTGGCCAAAACTGGGTATGCCATGCTGAGGCCAAACCAGATCCGACTACCTCACCTTTCAGACGTTTCCAATACCGGGTCTCGGTCTTGGCTGTTGGGGCTGTTGCGGCTGTTGGCGAGATGCCTGGAGGATCTGGATGGGTTTGGCCCACGGGCACATTCTCCTCCTGTGACTGGCTGAGATGGCTGAGGTTCACGTTGAACTGGAGTGGGGGCACCCAGCACATTGGTCACATCGCTGAAATGTCTTGAGCGAACCCAACCCCCCGTAGTAGTTTGATCCTTGCAACATGCCGCCATACCATTGTCATACATTGGCCACTCATTGGCGTGATCAGTCAGAAGCCTCAGGTGAACCTCTAGGTTCATCTGCAAGCGCCTATGCTGTGACGTCCTCGTTGATCACCTGCCAAGTGATTCGAGTGATTCGAGTGATACTTGTTGCCAGCACTCCATTCCAGTCTGCCTGATCATCTTTGACTTCCAACTTAGTTTATCGATAAAATCCGATAAAATTGAGAAAAGGGAGTGTTCATATTATATTCGTTTATCATCGTTTATCCTATTCGCCTTGTAGCTGACAGGTTTCCGTGCAACCCAGTGATGGTGCAGCAGCAGCTGGACAGTGTCAGAATGAATGGCCGTGACCAGGTGTGTTGACAGGTTTTTGTTCTTCCAGATCTTCTAGCGACTCTAGTGGGCATGCAAAAAATGATTATGTTTGTACATCACGAAAAGTAGCGTCAGCTACCTGAGTTAATGCTCGTTGGAACTGACAGTCCATTTTGATCCATTTTGGAAAGTCGTTTCTATGTGTCGGGTCATGTGTAGAGAGTGCCGAGTGCCCGAGGCAGGTTTGTCTTATGTTGGATCAGCTTGCCGAGATTTCCCCAAGATCCCATTGCCACTCTTTTCGTATACCCCATCTCTACATGTTTCTTCGAACAGACTTGCGGCATCGCGCAGCTCAACCAACCTCAAGATACGACAACTGTTGTAACTTGCGAGAGATCGCTGCGACTAGGCTCCAATAATCTCCAACAAGTTATACATATATATTTGTGTGCTGTACATATGTATGATGTATGTATGTGTACTTGAGAAGGGGTAGATGAAAGCTAGAGGGGTTGTCACTAGTCATCTTTTGCTCAATGCCACCTGGCTCTGCAGTGTAATTTACTATGTCAATGTTGCAGTGATTTGCTGCTTGGCATCTCAATGTAGAACAGGGCGAATGATCACCAAAAAATAGATATGACAGTCAGTAGGTCTGTGTGCTTCTGCAGACGAGGAACAAAGACTGTGAAGGGAATCCAGGTCGAGCTGATTTTTGAAGTAGCATCTCAACATCAAAATCGCTAGCAACCCTATATGGCTTGATTGATTGTACAATATGCTTGTTCAAGATTGAATAAGCAACATCGTTTTCTTGAAACATTTCACATTTGATCGTAAATACTTCGGGGAAAAAGCATCGTTTGAGGAGGCGCATAGAAAGTTGAAACCAAGGTTGACTCTGCTCACATACATGGAATGTGTGCAAAAAATGTTGAAAAAAGAGACAAACCTACATCTATCCATCCATCGATCGATCTATTTATCTATCTATCCATCTATCCATCTAGCTAGCTACCTATTTGCCTATCTACCTATCTACCTATCTACCTATCTATCTACCTATCTACCTATTTACCTATCTGCCTATCTACTTATCTGCCTATCTACCTATTCACCTATCTACCTACCTGCCTATCTGCCTATCTACATATATATATATATGTATGTATATCTCTCTCTCTCTCTCGCTCTCTCTCTCTCTCTCTACCTGTCTATTTGTCTATCTACCCCACCCTACCCTAACCTAACCTAATCCAACCCAACCTAACCTAACCTACCTACCTACCTATGTATATATATTTATTTATTTATTTATTTATTTATATTTCAGTAGTACCGCACAAGGCGGTGGCGGAAGTTTCAAAAATAGGAAACCTATAGGAGCGGTTGGTTGTTGTGAATCACGGATGGCAGAGCGAATCCACTGATGGACCGACAGGTGGTTGGAGTTGTGTTTGCTGGAGTGGTTGCAATGGTTGCATTGGTCACCTCACCACAACTGCTGGATGTAGTGTGATTAGTGTATATAGTGTATTGTAGTGTACTGTAGCGTGGTATACTGTAGTGCGGTCTAGTGTATTGTAGTGGAAAGTGTATTTGTAGTGGAAAGTAGTGTAGTTGTAGTTGTAGTGTTGTGTCGAGTAGTGCAACGTAGTGGTAGTTGCAGTTGTAGTGTAATGTTATTTGTGTCGTGTAGTGTTGTGTAATGGAGTGTAGTTCTAGATGTATTTGCATTTGTAGCTGTAATGTACTGAAGTTTAATTACCGTATTGTAGTGTAATGAGTGAGCTGTGATTGTGGTTGTAGCTGTGGTGGTGGTGGTGGTGGTGCTGGTGGTGCTGCTGCTGCTGGTGGTGGTGGTGGTGGTAGTAGTAGTAGTAGCCGTAGTAGTAGTCGCAGTAGTCGTAGTAGTCGTAGTAGTAGTAGCAGTAGCAGTAGCAGTAGCAGTAGCAGCAGCAGTAGCAGTAGTAGTAGTAGTAGGAGTAGGAGTAGGAGTAGTAGTAGTAGTAGGAGTAGGAGTAGGAGTAGGAGTAGTAGTAGTAGTAGTAGTAATAGTAGTAGTAGTAGTATAGTAGCAGTAGTAGTAGTATAGTAGTCGTAGTAGTCGTAGTAGTCGTAGTAGTCGTAGTAGTCGTAGTAGTCGTAGTAGTCGTAGTAGTCGTAGTAGTCGTAGTAGTCGTAGTAGTCGTAGTCGTAGTAGTAGTAGGAGTAGGAGTAGGAGTAGGAGTAGTAGTAGTAGTAGTATAGTAGCAGTAGTAGTCGTAGTAGTAGTCGTAGTAGTAGTGGTAGTAGTAGTCGTAGTAGTAGTCGTAGTCGTAGTAGTAGTCGTAGTAGTAGTCGTAGTAGTAGTGGTAGTAGTCGTAGTAGTTGTGGTGGTAATTATTCTTAGTAGCAGTAGTAGTAGTAAGTAGCAGTAGCAGTAGCAGTAGCAGTAGCAGTAGCAGTAGCAGTAGGAGTAGGAGTAGGAGTAGTAGTAGTAGTAGTAGTAGTAATAGTAGTAGTAGTAGTAGTGTTAGTGGTAGTGGTAGTAGTAGTAGTAGTAGCAGCAGCAGCAGTAGTAGTAGTAATAATCGAAGGAAGTTTAGAAGTCAAACTTCCGACAATATGGACAGATGAAAAGCAGAGCAGGGAAGAGGCAGAGAGAAGAGAAAGATTAGAAGAAAGAAGAGTAGAAGAGAAAGAATAAGAAGAAAGAAAATGCAGATGCGCGAAAAGGTAGGGAAGTCGCGAAACACTGTGTTTTTCCAATGATTTGTGGCTCCGGAGGGTTGAAAAGTAGGCTCGCTAAAGCGGCGGGTGCGGAGCCAGCTGGCCAGATGAGAGATGAAAAATTGCACGCCGTTGTGGCGCGAAGCACGTTTCGAAGTCAAAATGTTAAAAACACCAGGGGTTCGGACCATTTTCGGAAGTTGAGATGTCGAAAAAGCGCACGCCGTTGTGGCGCGAAGCACATTTCGAAGTCAAAATGTACAAAACACACCAGCTTCGGACCACTTTTGGAAGTTGAGATGTTGAAAAAGTGCACGCCGTTGTGGCGCGAAGCACATTTCGATTCAAAATGTACAAAACACTTCAGCTTCGTACCACTTTTGGAAGTTGAGATGTCGAAAAAGTGGACGCCGTTGTGGCGCGAAGCACATTTCGAAGTCAAAATGTACAAAACACACCAACTCCGGACCACTTTTGGAAGTTGCGATGTCGAAAAAGTGAACGCCGTTGTGGCGCAAAGCACATTTCGAAGTCAAAATGTACAAAACACACCAACGTCGGAGCACTTTTGGAAGGTGAGATTTCGAAAAAGTGCACGCCGTTGTGGCGCAAAGCACATTTTGAAGTCAAAATGTACAAAACACTTCAGCTTCGGACCACTTTTGGAAGTTGAGATGTTGAAAAAGTGGACGCCGTTGTGGCGCGAAGCACATTTCGAAGTCAAAATGGACAAAACACTACATGTTCGCAACACTTTTGGAGGTTCAGGTTCAGGTGTCGTTTTACGTGGCAGGCGCAAGGGATTGTGCACCTTGTCAAAAGTGAGCAAAACGTGAGGGTTTTGTGCCATTTCTAAAAAACGATGGCAGGGGATGGCAGGGGTGGGGCATTTGAACAAGATCTGCAAAGATGCATTTTCCGTAGCAGGCGCAGTACAAGAGACATGTTCATCAGAGCTGTTAGGAGGTCCGGGCGGTGATTTCCTGAGAGAGGTTGCATTTTGAAGCCTGAGATCTTCAGGTTTGCTGAGATGATTTTGCGTGACAGGTGCAGCACTTCGTATGACCTGGCATCACTTTTTCGTGGCAGGCGCAGTCGTTTAGACAAGTGGATTGGAAAAATCGCAAAACTCATTGGTACGAGGCCGTCAGCGCTGCGCGCAACTTTCCATTCTTGAAGGACGTCTCGCAGAATCGCTTCGTTTTTGATGTTCTCAACGTCGAAAAATGACGAAGTCTCGCAGAATTGCTTCGTTTTTGACGTTGTCAAGTTCAAACATTGAGGAAGTCTCGCAGAATTGCTTCGTTTTTGATGTTGTCAAGAACAAAACTTGAGGACGTCTCGCAGAATAGCTTCGTTTTCAAGCTTGCAGATAGATAGGTAGATAGACAGACAGACAGAGAGAGGTAGATAAATAAATAAATAGATAGATAGATAGACAGACAGATAGATAGATAGACAGATAGAAAATGGAGAGACAGACAGACAGAGAGAGAGAGAGAGAGAGAAAGAGTGATAGAGAGAGATAGATAGACAGATGAGAGAGAGAGAGAGAGAAAGATAGATAGATAGATGGATAGATAGAAAGATAGATAGGTAGATAGATAGATCGGTAGGTAGGTAGGTATAGATAATCAGAAAAAGAGAGAAAAAGAGAGAGAGAGAGAGAGAAAGAGATGAGACATCAATCACCTTTCGATCCATCAGTGGCTTCACTCTGCCATCCGTGATTCACAACAACCAACCTCTCCTATAGGTTTCCTATGTTTGAAACTTCCGCCACCGCCTTGCGCGGTACTACTGGTAGTAGTTGTAGTGTAATTAGTTTTGCGATGTTTCCACTCCGCCTGTCTAAAGTATTGCGCCTGCCACGAAAAAGTGATGCCAGGTCATACGAAGTGCTGCACCTGTCACGCAAAATCATCTCAGCAAACCTGAAGATCTCAGGCTTCAAAATGCAACCTCTCTCAGGAAATCACCGCCCTGACCTCCGAACAGCTTTGATGAACATGTCTCTTGCACTGCGCCTGCCACGCGAAATGCATCTTTCCAAATCTTCTTCAAACGTCCCACGCCTGGCATCGTTTTTAAAACTGCTACAAAACCATCACGTTTTGCTTAGTTTTGACAAAGTCCACAATCCCTTGCGCCTGCCACGCAAAACGACATTGAACGTCCAAAAGTGCTCCAGACCCCTCAGTGTTTTGCACTTTTGACTTCGAAATGTGCTTCGCGCCACAACGGCGGGCACTTTTTCGACATCTCAACTTCCAAAAGTGGTCCGAAGCTGAAGTGTTTTGTACATTTTGACTTGGAAATGTGCTTCGCGCCACAACAGCGTGCACTTTTTCGACATCGCGACTTTAAGGGTGCTCCGAAGCTGAGTACATTTTGACTTGCAAATGTGCTTCGCGCCACAACGGCGTGCACTTTTTCGACATCTCAACTTCCAAAGGTGGTCCGAGACCGTCAATTTTTAACATTTTTAACATTTTGACTTCGAAATGTGCTTCGCGCCGCAACGGCGTGCACTTTTTCGACATCTGGTCCGGAGTTGGTGTGTTTTGTACATTTGGACTTCGAAATGTGCTTCGCGCCACAACGGCATGCACTTTTCCATCTTTCATCTGACCACATGGCTCCACACCCGCCGCTTTAGCGAGCCTACTTTTCAATCCTCCGGAGCCGACTTTCCTACCTTTTTCGCGCACCTGGATCTTCTTTCTTCTGAGACTTTCTCTTTTTTGATCTCCTTTCTTCTTCTCTTCTCTTCTCTTCTCTTTTCTTCCCTCCCCTTCCCTTCCCTTCCCTTCCCTTCTCTTCTCTTCTCTTCTCTTCTCAGATTCTCTTCTCTGACTCTTCCCACCTGTGCTTTTCCATGTGTCTATATTGTCGGAAGTTTGACTTCGAAACTTCCTTCGATTTTTTAAAATACATTTATGTATATAATGTGCACCATTTAGAAGTGTGATTTTGTTTGGGGGTTTCTTTTGCCCAATCCGGCTTGTTGCATCTCAGGCAGTATCTAGACAATTCACCACTGGCCACAGCGCAGCTTTGAGTGGTTTGCAGTTGGGATGCACGGCTGGCAGATTCAGGGTGTCGTGTTGTGATGAACTGAGGTAAAGTTTGATATGATTGAAGTGAGCATGGCCGACATATCCGATTTAGATTTTCCTTTCATTTGCCCACTGCCCGTGTTCTCTGAATTCTGCGTGTTCTCTGAGTTCTGTGGTTGCAAGGCCGGATGCCACCTATGTGGTGGACGTCAGGGGCATGAATCAGGCCTTGGGAAACAAAGAGCAATCGATCGATGCCAAGGTTCCCCATGGTCTCCCCACATTTGCGCCTGTGTTGAATGGTGCCTTGAACCGCTCTCTCCCATTGTCTCCCCACATGCGTGCCTGTGTTTGGATGGTGTCTCGCATTGTCTCCCATTGTCCCCTCCACATGTGTGCCTGTGTTGGATTCCCGAGGCCTTGTCTCGCCGTGCCTCCCATTGTCTCCCATGGTCTCCCCAATGCGTGCATGTGTTGGATGGTGTGTCCGCCTTCCCGAGGTCTCCCTTGTCTCCCCTTGTCCCCCATTCTGTCCCATTGTCTCCGCACATGCGTGCCTGTGTTGGATCTTGCGTCCGCCTTCCGGAGGTCTTGTCCCCCTTGTCTCCCATTTTCTCCCATTGTCTCCCCACATGTGTGTGCCTGTGTTGGATGGTATGGTGTGTCCGCCTTCCTGTGACGTCCTTGTCTTCCCTTGTCTCCCCTTGTCTCGCATTGTCTGCCATTGTCTCCCATTGTGGCACATGTGCGCCTGTGTTGGAAGGTGCGTTCGCCTTCCCGAGGTCTTGTCTCCCCATTGTCTCCCCGTATATGTATGCCTGTGTTGGATGGTGTGTCTGCCTTCGCAAGTTCTTGTCTTCCCTTGTCTCTCAATGCCTACCATTGCTCTCATTGTCTCCCATTGTCTCCCCACATGTGTGCCTGTGTTGGATGGTGTGTTCGTTTTTGGGAGGTGTGCCTGTGTTGGATGGTGTGTCCGCATTCCCGAGCTCTTGTGTCCTCTTGCCTCCCAGCTTGTCTCCCATTGTCTCCCCACATGTGTGCATGTGTTGGATGATGTGCCCGCCTTTCCGAGGTCTTGTCCTTGTCTCCCCTTGCCTACCCATGTTTTCCCTTGTCTCGCATTCTCTCCCTTCTTGTTTTCTTTTGTTGGATGGTGTGTCCGTCTTCCCGAGGTCTTGTCTTCCCTTGTCTGCCATTGTTGTATGGTGCGTCCGCATTCCTGAGGTCTTGTCTCCCCATGTCTCCCCACATGTGTGCCTGTGTTGAATGATGCATCCGCCTCCCCATGGTCCTGTCAACCCTTGTCTCCCATTGTCTCCCCCTGTGTTGTGTGTCCGCCTTCCCGAGTCTTGCCTCCTCTTGTCTCCCTGTGTTGGTTGGCGTGTCCCGGGCGCACAATGAAGCCAGCAGGCAAGCAAGCAAGCAAGCAAGCCAGCCAGGCAGGCAGGCAGCCAAGCAAGCAAGCCAGCCAGCCAGCCAGCTAGGAAGCAAGCAAGCCAGGCATGGAAGCAAGCAAGCAACTGAGCAACCAAGCAACGGAGCAAGGCAAAGCCAGCCAAGCCAGCCAAGCCAGACAAGCCAGCCAAGCCAGCTAAGCCAGCCAAGCCAGCCAAGCCAGCCAAGCCAGCCAACCAGCAAGCAAGCCATCCAGCAAGCAAGGGGGCAAGCAAGCCAGCCAGCCAGCCAGCCAGCTAGCAAGCGAGCCTGCCATGCAGGTAGGCCAGAGCAAGCAACAACTTTGCATGCAGGCAAGCAAGCAAGGAAGTAAGCAAGCGAGCCAGCCAGCCAACCAGCAAGCAAGCAAGCCAGCCAGCCATCAGAAGTAAAGTTTTGAGCCAATCGTAGATAAACCTTCGAGCCAACCCTTCGGAAAAATTATAAACCAACTTTCAATAAAACAAAGCAACCCTGGACAAACCCTAAGTTCTAAACCAGCTGCAACCCAACTCATACCTTACTTATCCAAACCCGAAACGAATTTTAAATTGTAAACTAATGGGCGCTAAACAGTACATAAAGCTTTAAACATCTTTAAACCAATCTTTGGCCAACACCAAAGAAAATTCAAAATAAAAACAACACCAAATCCTAGATCTATTTTAAATCAACCATAAATATATGTTGAACAAACTTTGAAGAAAAACCTTGGCCAACCTGAAATAAAAAGATAAACTTACCCTTAGTAAAGCACCAACAATTTTGAAGTACAACCTGAAACCGCCCTCAAATAAACTTTCATTAAACTTTGAACCAGTCAAGAATAAACAGCACATCACTGTCACATCACCCTAAATAGATCTCTAACCAGCCCCAAGCCAATTCTAAACCGAACCGTAAACCAATTCAAAACATAAAGTGCACCGACACTACATCGGCCCTAAACCAACTTGAATTGGCCATTAAGCCAACTTTAACAAAACCCTCAGCAACTTCAAATAAATTGCCGAACTACATTCAATAAAGATGTAAACCAAAATTCCATAGCCCCCAAACCAGCTCTAATCAAACCTTAAACCAACCCCAAATCAACCCTAAACAAACTTTAAACCGATTACAAAGAACCCCTTAATCCAACTCCAAAGAAAACATTGAAGCAATCTATCTATATGCACGTATAAATAGATAAGACAATAAATCCTTAAACCCTCACGAAGGACACTGCACGCACACCTTTAGAGAAAACTTTGCACCAACCTTAAGCCAATCAGCAATAAACCACTGACCCAACCCTGAATCAACCCTAAGCCAAACCGAAAGAAAACGTAAACACATCTTAAGCCAAATACCAAGCACGCCAGAAATAACAGCCTAAAAATGTTACATAAGCATTACGCCAACATTAAAGAAATCCAGGGTAAACTTTAAGCTAACATTAAAGCCACCCAAACTAAACCACACATCAATTGTAACTACAATTTCCAACCTGCCTTGGAACACAACCCTACACCAAATCTAAACAAAACCTTACACCAAACCTAAGCCAACCCTGACCATATCTTAAAAGATAAGAAACATTTCAAAATACCTTCGCCCAAGCCGAAACAAATCCGACAGCAGCCCTAACACCATGCTATTTGAACCTACCTTGAAACTAAGCGGACTCCTAGCTAAACCGCAAACTAACCTCAAAGAACATATTGCACCAACACTAAATTCACGCCAAACAAGCGCTACACAAAAAACCGTTTACAAACAAACTTTAAGCCGACCTGGAATAAGTAACCCAACCCACCATACCGATACCTTTAACCAACCCTAAGCACACACCACAGCAACCCCCAAAACACTTCTAGCTGAACCAACCCCAGATTGCTGCTAGCTCCAAAAATTTCCGATACCGGCCAAAACAACAGTTTCTAGTCTCAAAATGCTTGACTTACCATCAGCTTCTTGTTCCAAAATGCAGCAATTCCCGTAGAAGTGGTTCCAAAATGTTGCAAGTATTGTCGAAATGGCAGCTTCGAGGTTTAACATGCTGCAAATAGCGAGGGGATTGATTCACCATTGAGGGGGAAAAAACCCGGGAAGGCGGAAAAAAACACGGGAAGGGGGAAAAAACATGTGTGCCTGTGTTTGGGTGGTGTCTCCCGTTGTCTTCCATTGTCCCTCCCACGTGTGTGCCTGTGTTGGATTCCTGAGGTCTTGTCTCCCCGTGCCTCCCACTGTCTCCCATGGTCTCCCCGCATGTGTGCCTGTGTTGGATGGTGTGTCCCCCTTCCCAAGGTCTCCCCTTGTCTCCCCTTGTCTCCCATTGTGTCCCATTGTCTCCGCGCATGTGTGCCTGTGTTGGAAGGTGTGTTCGCCTTCCCGGGGTCTTGTCTCCCCTTTGCGCCTGTGTTGGATGGTGTGTCCGCCTTCCCGGGGTCTTGTCTCCCCTTGTCTCCCCACATATGTGTGCCTGTGTTGGATGGTGTGTTCGCCTTCCCAACCCACATGTGTGCCTGTGTTGGATGGTGCCTCCGCCTTCCCGAGGTCTTGTCTCCCCTTGTGTCCCTTCTTGTCCCCCTGGTCTCCCATTGTCTCTTCTTGTTTCCCTTTGTTGGATGGTGTGTCTTCCCGAGGCCTTGTCCCCCTTGTCTCCCAGCTAGTCTCCAAGCTTGTCAGGTTGTCTTCCTTCTTGTTTCCCTTTAGTGTCTGCCTTCCCGGGGCCTTGTCTCCCTTGTCTCCCTTTTACCAGCTTGTCTCCCAGCTTGTTTCCATTCTTGTTTCCCTTTCTGGGATGGTGCGTCCGTCTTCCCAAGGCCTGTCTCCCAACTTGTCTTTGTTCTCTTTCCCTTTGTTGGATGGTGCGTCCGCCTTCTCAAGGCCTTGTCTCCCTTGTCTCCCAGCTTGTCTCCCAGCTTGTCTCCCAGCTTGTCTCCCAGCTTGTCTCCCAGCTTGTCTCCCAGCTTGTCTCCCAGCTTGTCTCCCAGCTTGTCTCCCTTTGCTGGATGGTGTGTCCGCCTTCCCCCTTGTCTCCCATTGTCTCCCTTCTTGTTTTCCTTTGTTGGGTTGTTTGTCCGCCTTCCCGAATCCTTGTCTCGCTTGTTTCCAAACTTGTGTCCCAGTTTGTCTTCCTTCTTGTTTCCCTTTGTTGGATTGCGTGTCCACCTTCCCGATGTCTTCTCTCCCTTGTCCCCCAACTTGCCTCCCCTTCTTGTTTCCCTTTGTTGGATGATGGTGTGTTTGCCTTCTCCCTTGTCTCCGATTGTCTCCCTTCTTGTTTCTCTTTGTTGGGTGGTGTGTCCACCTTCCCGAGGTCTTGTCTCCCTTGTCTCCCAGCTTGTTTTCCAGCTTGTCTCCCAGCTTGTTTTCCAGCTTGTCTCCCAGCTTGTTTTCCAGCTTGTCTCCCAGCTTGTCTTCCAGCTTGTCTCCCAGCTTGTCTTCCTTCTTGTTTCCCTTTGTTGGATGGTGTGTCCGTCTTCCCGAGGCGTCCCTTTGTTGGATGGGGTGTCCGTCTTCCCGAGGCCTTGTCCCCTTGTCTCCCAGCTTGTCATCCAGCTTGTCTCTCCCAAGTCTCCCAGCTAAAATTTGTTGCACGCCGAGAATTGCGCAGACTCTAAAGTTCACAGAGCCCCGGGGTTGAGAATGATGTCATCTTTCACTTTCATCCTTCGATGTTTTCAACACATCCAACTTGACAGCCCTATGCTGCTTGATTCGAGCGTTTGGATCCAAGTAGTTGCACCTCCATCGGATGTTTCCTTCATCGTTTTTCGGCATCTAGCGTTGCAACAAAGCAAGCGAAGCCGTTTCGACCAGATTTGAAACATCGCTGTCACTGCATGTCCAGGCTGGTTGGGGAGATAGCTGCAAGCTAGAAGCTTCCACCGCGCCACGGCGACAGGCAACAGTTCGGTCCCATGGTCCCATAGATATGCAATGAGAGTGCACGACCAAATATGACCTTTTAACCTTGGTGCTGTTTAGAACTTGGTTCGAACAGGAGACCGATGATCAGCGAGTCCGTGTGACGACTTTGTGAGTGGCTGTGGCAAAAGCAAGTCCTTAAACGACAGCACTACACTACATGCCCTTTTTTCTTTATCCAATTCAGACCAAGCACTATTTGCATCTCCTTGCTCAAAAGGGTGACAGCAGCTTCCTTTTGTGACATCCGACTTCAATGTTGCAGAATGCATCAACGGCCTTAATGATGAGAGAGGTAAAATTACAGTATGTATGTATGTATGTATGAATGTATGAATGTATGAATGTATGAATGTATGAATGTATGAATGTATGTATGTATGTATGTATGTATGTAATGCAGGTAGGTATGTATGTATGTATGGTATGTATGGTATGTATGTTATGTATGTATGTATGTTATGTATGTTATGTATGTTATGTATGTTATATATGTTATGTATGTTATGTATTTTTTATGTATGTTATGTATGTTATGTATGTTATATATGTTATGTATGTTATGTATTTTTATGTATGTTATGTATGTTATGTATGTTATGTATGGTTTGTATGTTATGTATGTTATGTATGTTATGTATGTTATGTATGTTATGTATGGTCTGTATGTTATGTATGTTATGTATGTTATGTATGTTATGTATGTTATGTATGTTATGTATGTTATGTATGTTATGTATGTTATGTATGTTATGTATGTTATGTATGTTATGTATGTTATGTATGTTATGTATGTTATGTATGTTATGTATGTTATGTATGTTATGTATGTTACGTATGTTATGTATGTTACGTATGTTATGTATGTATGTATGTATGTATGTATGTATGTATGTTATGTATGTACTGCATGCAGGTAGGTATGTATGTATGTATGTAGTTATGTATGCATGTATGTATGTATGTTATGTATGCATGTATGCATGGATGTTATGTATGCATGTATGCATGTATGCATGTATGTATGTACTCATGTGTGTGTATGTATGTATGTATGTATGTATGTATGTATGCATGCATGCATGTATGCATGGATGTATGTATGTATGTACGTATGTATGATGAATAAAAAATGTGATTATTATTGTTACCAGTAGTACCGCGCAAGGCGGTGGCGGAAGTTTCAAAAATAAGAGAAGCTTATAGGAGAGGTTGGTTGTTGTGAATCGCGGATGGCAGAGCGAATCCACTGATGGACCGAAAGGTGGTTGGAGTCGTGTTTTTCTTGAGTGGTTGCAATGGTTGCAGTGGTCACCTCAGCGCAACTGCTGGATGTAGTGTGGTGTAGTGGGACCTGACACTGCGTTGTATGGCCGAGGGCCCAACGGTCTAGTCAAGGCAGAGGTGAATTTCTCGCAAAAAATATAGCGTGGTGGTATATGTTGTTTGGAGGTTGGCAGAATGTTGGATCTCTGTTCTTGATTGTGTCTCCAAACCTTTTGTGGGCTCAAGCGTTTGTCATCTGAAGACCTTGAATGATGCAAGGTTCGAGACATTGGATGACATTGATAATTTGCGTCAAACATCAATGAGCAACACCGAACTGCGCAAACGGCAAACTCAGTTCAAAAATAAAAGGACCGGATAACCCCACATGTCAAGCCTTTATGTATCTAAGCTTGATGTGAACTTCGGGGAGGTGTGAGAAGTGAGGTGTGAGAAGTGGACTTGTTATGTCAGGTGTGAGAAGTGGAGTTGTGATGAGTTCTGATGTGATAAGTGAGGTGTGAGAAGTGGTGTGAGAAGTAGAGTTGTGATGAGTTGGGATGTGATAAGTTGTGATGAAAAGTTGTGATGTGATAAGTGAGGTGTGAGAAGTGGAACTGTGATGAGTTGGCATGTGATAAGTGAGATGTGTAGAGTGGTGAATGATGAGTGAGATGTGATAAGTGGTGTAGTGAAGAGTGGTGAATGAAGGCTCTGTGTACTGCGCCTGCCACGCGAAAGGCAGCCAGGAAGCTCTCTTTACTGCGACTGCCTGCCACGGGATAAGTGGTGTAGTGAAGAGTGGTGAATGATGAGTGAGAGGTGATAAGTAGTGTAGTGAAGAGTGGTGAATGATGAGTGAGATGTGATGAGTACTGTAGTGAAGAGTGGTGAATGATGAGTGAGATGTGATAAGTGGTGTAGTGAAGAGTGGTGAATGATGAGTGAGAGGTGATAAGTAGTGTAGTGAAGTGTGGTGAATGATGAGTGAGATGTGATGAGTAGTGTAGTGAAGAGTGGTGAATGATGAGTGAGATGTGATAAGTGGTGTAGTGAAGAGTGGTGAATGATGAGTGAGAGGTGATAAGTAGTGTAGTGAAGAGTGGTGAATGATGAGTGAGATGTGATGAGTAGTGTAGTGAAGAGTGGTGAATGATGAGTGAGATGTGATAACTGGTGTATTGAAGAGTGGTGAATGATGAGTGAGATGTGAAAAGTGGTGTAGTGAAGAGTGGTGAATGATGAGTGAGGGGTGATAAGTGGTGTAGTGATGAGTGGTGAATGATGAGTGAGAGGTGATAAGTGGTGTAGTGAAGAGTGGTGAATGATGAGTGAGAGGTGATGAAAGTAGTGTAGTGAAGAGTGGTGAATGATGAGTGAGAGGTGCATGCGCCTGCCACGCGAAGCCAGCCGCGGCCCAGCGGCGCCCACGCGCGCCATAGCTCCTCCAGGAGCGCCTGCTACACGAAAGCCAGCCGCGGCCAGAAGGCTCTGAGTATTGCGCGTGCCACACAAAAGCCAGCAGCTCTCTGTCTGTACTGCGCCTGCCACACGAAGCCAGCCGCGGCCCAGCGGCGCCCACGTGCGCCGCAGCTCCTGTGTACTGCACCTGCCAGAAGAAGAAGGGAGTTGCGGCCCAGCGGCGCGCCGCAGCTCCTCCAGGAGGCTCTGTGCACTATGCCTGCCACGCGAAAGGCAGCCAGGAAGCTCTCTGTTCTGCGCCCGCCACGCGAAAGGCGGCCAGGAAGCTCTGTGTACTGCGCCTGCCACGCGAAAGCCAGCCGCGGCCCAGCGGCGCCCACGCGCGCCGCAGTTACTCAGGAGGCTCTGTGTACTGACGCGCAAGGCATCCAGGAAGCTCTGTGTACTGCGCCTGCCACACGAAGCCAGCCCTGGCCCAGCGGCGCCCACACGCGCGCCGCAGCTCCTCCAGGAGGCTCTGTGTACTGCGCTTGCCACGCGAAAGGCAGCCAGGAAACTCTGTGTACTGCGCCTGCCACACGAAAGCCAGCCGCGGCCCGGCGCCCAGGCGCACCGCAGCTCCTCCAGGAGGCTCTGTGTACTGCGCCTGCCACGCGAAAGGCAGCCAGGAAGCTCTGTGTACTGCGCTTGCCACACGAAAGCCAGCCGCGGCCCAGCAGCGTCCACGCGCGCCGCAGCTCCTCCAGGAGGCTCTGTGTACTGCGCCTGCCACGCGAAAGGCAGCCAGGAAGCTCTCTGTACTGCGCCTGCCTGCCACGCGATAAGTGGTGTAGTGAAGAATGGTGAATGATGAGTGAGAGGTGATGAGTAGTGTAGTGAAGAGTGGTGAATGATGAGTGAGATGTGATGAGTAGTGTAGTGAATAGTGGTGAATGATGAGTGAGATGTGATAAGTGGTGTAGTGAAGAGTGGTGAATGATGAGTGAGAGGTGATAAGTAGTGTAGTGAAGAGTGGTGAATGATGAGGGAGATGTGATGAGTACTGTAGTGAAGAGTGGTGAATGATGAGTGAGATGTGAGAGTGAGAGGTGATAAGAAGTGTAGTGAAGAGTGGTGAATGATGAGTGAGAAGTGATGCGTAGTGTAGTGAAGAGTGGTGAATGATGAGTGAGATGTGATAAGTGGTGTAGTGAAGAGTGGTGAATGATAGGTGAGATGTGATAAGTGGTGTAGTGAAGAGTGGTGAATGATGAGTGAGAGGTGATAAGTGGTGTAGTGAAGAGTGGTGAATGATGAGTGAGAGGTGATAAGTAGTGCAGTGAAGAGTGGTGAATGATGAGTGAGGGCGGCGGCGGCGGAGGAGGAGGCTGGAACCCCCCGGCGGGATCCAAGCGAAAAACAAGAACCCCACACAGTGATGTGGGGAACAAACAAACAGCTAAGACGATAAACTGAAAAGGGTTGCTTATTGTTCTTACTTTCGTTATCATTATTGTATCTCACATATAGAGCCCCTAGAACTAGTTGCCTTCAAACTTGGCATTTTCTTCACAGTTCTGCACTGCAATGTTGCCTGAGAGAGCCCAAAGCAAAATGGCGCTGCGACCGTCCAGTGCTGGAAACTTGTGAGGAGGGGAAGAAATTGATTGAACTGACTTCATAGCACCTCAGAATTGGCAGACAACTACTTGTACCTGATTGTACCTGTGCTCCAGTTACAAATTGTGGTTCTGGATCTTCTATTATTCGTTTTGACTTCATAGCTCTGGAGTGATTTGTGCAACCGCTCTGGCTGCTGGAGTTCCACGACTGCAGGAGAATTATGAAGTGCGCGTCCTGATGTGGGCAATTCACCGCACAGACCTTGGTCACAACGTCAGGCATCATCTTTTCAATATTCCTCAGAGCTACCATGCACCCCTTCAACTTCATCAGACAAGTCCTTCATCAATAGTGGCTAGAAGAAATCTTGCGAAGCTCAGAATTATTCCATCCACTCTACCGCTCCAGGACTATTGTGCGGCGGAACCGCTTTGCTTGGCTGTCATTTGCCTGTCGAGGTTCAAGATGGAGTTCTGGGATGACTCTAATACGGAGGCCCGAGAACTTTGTAGTTCGAAAGAGGGAGCAAAAACGACATGATTTCATAGGATGGGTCCTTCCTGTTCGCCCCTAAAAGGACTACCGGATCTAAATTCAGAAGCAAATACATTCATACATCACGCATCGATAATTCCATACATACATACGCACACCACACACACAATGCAACGTATGTATGTATGTATGTACGTATGTATGTATGTATGTATGTAATTATGTTAAGTTATGTATGTATGTATGAATGTATGAATGTATGTATGTATGTATGAATGTATGAATGTATGTATGTATGTATGCATGTATGTATGTATGTATGTTATGTTATGTATGTAGTGTATGTATTGTAATGTATGCAATGTAATGCATGTAATGTAATGTATGTAATGTAATGCATGTAATGTAATGTATGTAATGTAATGTAATGTAATGCATGCAATGTAATGTTTGGAATGTATGTAATGTAATGCATGCAATGTAATGTATGGAATGTATGTAATGCATGTACTGTATGCATGTATGCATGTATGTATGTATGCATGTATGCAAGTAGGAATGTATGGTATGTAGGGTATGTATGGTATGTATTGTATGTATGGTATGTATGATATGTATGGTATGTATGGTATGTATGGTATGTATGGTGTGTATGTAATGCATGTATGCATGCTAGAACTACTGCCACTGCTACTGCTACTGCTACTGCTACTGCTACTACTGCTACTACTGCTTCTACTACTGCTACTACTACTGCTGCTTCTACTCCTACAACTACTACAACTACTACAACTACAACAACTACAACAACAACGACCACCACTACTACTACTACTCCTCCTCCTCCTGCTGCTGCTGCTGCTGCTCTACTACTCCTACTCCTACTCCTACTCCTACCCCTACTCCTTTTACTCCTACTACTACTACTACTACTGCTTCCACTACGATTACCACTACCACTACCACTACCACTACCACTACCACTACTACTACTACTACTACCACTACCACTACCACTACCACTGCCACTGCCACTGCCACTGCCACTGCCACTGCTACTGCTACTGCTACTGCTACTGCTACTACTGCTACTGCTGCTACTGCTGCTACTGCTGCTACTGCTGCTACTGCTGCTACTGCTGCTACTGCTACTACTACTACTACTACTACTAGTACTACTACTACTACTACTACTAGACTACTACTACTACTATTACTACTATTACTACTACTACTACTTCTTCCACTACCATTACCACTACCACTACCATTACTATTACTGCTACCACTACTACTACTACTACTGCTACTACTGCTACTACTGCTACTACTACTACTGCTACTACTACTACTACTATTACTACTACTACTACTACTTCTTCTTCCACTACCATTACCACTACCACTACCATTACTATTACTGCTACCACTACTACTACTACTACTACTGCTACTACTGCTACTACTGCTACTACTACTACTGCTACTACTGCTACTACTACTACTAATACTACTACTACGACTACTACTACTACTACTGCTACTACGACTACTACTACTACTACTGACTGCTACGACTACGACTACGACTAGTACTACTACTACTACTACTATTACTACTACTACTACTACTACTACTACTTTCTAGCTAATAGCTACTAGCTACTTGCTACTTGCTCTACTACTTGCTCTACTTTTTTCTACTTGCTCTACTTGCTCTACTTGCTCTACTTGCTCTACTTGCACTACTTGCACTACTTGCACTACTTGCACTACTTGCACTACTTGCACTACTTGCACTACTTGCACTACTTGCACTACTTGCACTACTCGCACTACTCGCACTACTCGCACTACTTGCACTACTTGCACTACTTGCACTACTTTCACTGCTTGCACTATTTGCTACTTGCTACTTCCTGCTTGCTACTTGCTACTTACTACTTACTACTACTTACTACTACTTACTACTACTTACTACTACTTACTACTACTTACTACTACTTACTGCCTACTACTACTACCTACTACTACTTACTACTACTTACTACTACTTACTACCACTTACTGCTACTTACTACTACTTACTAGTATTAATAATAATACCGATAATCATTTTGCAAATCATGTGTGTCTATATATACATATATATATAGATATATGTATTATAATTTATGTTATGTATAGATTGGCAGATAGAGAGAGAGAGAGTGAGAGAGTGAGATGGAAACGAAGAGTGCACAGTAGAACGTAAAGTTGTTCCATCAACAACACATATTGGAAAATCATTGCCATGACGTGAAGCAACGCTCTTTTTTTCTCATAACTAGAAGCAAAAAATACATGCCATCCGCAATGTTTTAAGATATTGTATGTGCACATTTTTATCACTGCCAGAACTCACAGCCAAAGCCAACAAACAACATAAAACCCATTAGAATCATTAGACTTATGTCCTTCTTTTCTCATGTCATCATAGAGTTTTGCCAGTTTCCGCGTCACAACAGGCTTGCTGGAAAGCATTCCCACGCTCCAAGGCCCAAACTTGATAGACCCAAATTCAAAGTCCCAAATTACACCCCGCAAGGAAAACCATGAGTCATTTTGATTTTACAATTTCTAAGTATGTGTGATGCTCGACTGTGGGGCGTGCTACAATTGAAATAGTGAGGTTGTGGAAAGGATTGCATTCGTTTCTAAAATGCCGAGGTACGTTGCTTGATGTGACAGTGATCAGAACCGAATGTTTGTGAGGGAAGGTTCTCAATTCAATTGCATGTCAAGAATTGTCAAATAAATTCCCATTTCTGGGGTGTCCGAAGCCTTTTCCACTCCTAGGGGGTGAGATTTGTCACTATGATGTGCTAGCACCAATGCCTCTGATCGCAAGCGCACCTCAATACAAAATGCAATGCCCAAAGAAGCAACTGCTCTTGTCCATCTTGCGCTGGAACAATCGGAATATATGCAGTATATATGCAATTATATACGTACCAAGTACATCCAAGTGCCGAGAAAGTCACATCAAGTTGCAGATCCAAAGTTATTTGACAAGCCGGTCGTTTTTACCACCAAAGGTTTTGCGATTGTTGATGGGCTCACAACCCTACATGCAATGAACATTCTACTTAGCTGCCTTTGCGAAAACACAGTGTAAGGGTTTCAGAATCTGTTTGTGCCCGACCCGATGACGACAAGTCCAACCTTTCGCTTTCAGTTGATTTTTTTTCTAACTTGTCACCTCTTTGAGTCTACGCGTATGGAGCGGGGCCATGTCGAAGCGCTCCTCTGGAGATGCTTATGGTGCCAGCAAAAACCAATGGCATGATATGCCTGGCGTCCATGCCGATGCTCTTGGTACCTGGTCAGATTTTGGCAGTGGGGAGGTTGAGTTAGTGTCATTTAGTGTCAACTTGGTAGCTCAAAGGTAGCTCTGAATTTTTGGGCGGGGCGTGTTTGCATGTCCTCGAGAAGTCACTGGCAATGGTACTGAAGAACCAAATTCTGTGCGACTTGAGACCTGTAAATTTGTTTTCTGACAAACTGGCCTGAGGCTTATGGAAGATACTTGTGTGTAATGGTACATACATATGATTCCTTTGCCACTCGCCGCCGCCAAGGTGCCGTTTCCAAAGAAGTGGCATTGCTGTTGACTGAGCTCTCCAAGCTCTGGTGTAGTCCTGAGCTCTCTGCAGAGGATGCCCAAACTCGTGCGAACAACCTGCGATCAAAGCTAGGCCTGGTGGCTGAGACGATTGGGCATGAACCCAACCACGAAGCACACTTCCCCTGAGTACAGAGCAAGTGATCCTGTTCCCTCCTACGAATGTGATCGAATGTGCATGTGCACCAAATATTTACGGGAAGAATGCCTCCCATGATCCTACAGGAGTGTTTTGACTCTTCACCTCCAACTTTGAAGGTCCCATCCTAGAGAATGAGAAGAATTGGTTGCAGAAATCTCGGGAGAAGCTGGACAAGGCGCAGGGGACACTGTTAGATGCTAGCCATGGTAGCCATGGTCCATGGCAATGCTGCTGTACAGTTGTATCATGTTGTATCTCCGAGCCATTGGATGTGAGGCCCTGGATGAGACCGGAAAGTTGGCGCAGGAGGTAGGGGAAACTCCTCCTGTGAAACAGGCGCGCGCTCCTTGCATGTTCCAAAGGCTGTCCGTTAAAGTCAACGGAAATATAAAGATTATAAAGCCAATATGGACAGTTGCCGTTTGTTGGGCTTGCCTGACACGCCCTGTTCAGAGTGAACCCCACTGGACATCACTTGACGCAAACCATTGAATCTGGCACCCTTGCTACTGGTTCATGGGGCAACCTGGCCAAGCAAAACCGCGGCACTGGTCATTCCCAGGTCCCTGAAAGAACGCAGCTTCACCAGCCCCGGGGCCATAGCTATGGCATACTTATCCCATAGTTATGCCAGAGCCATGCGATATCCTGATGTAACCTGCAGGAAAAGGAATCCATTGCGGCGCAGCGAAGCGCTTTGAAGACGGAAATGGAGCGTCTCACAAAGCTCCGAGCCCGTCAGGGCGAGGAAGTCAAGGACTGGTTGAGAGGCAGGCAGCAGGAGGCAGCAGGAGGCAGGTACCCATTAGAATCACTGTAGCGGCTAGGCAAGGAATGGCCAGGAGGCAAGGATCAATATATGAATTATATTATTATCTATATCTACTACAATCTATATATATATATAATATTATATATATATGTGAGTTATATGAGTAACCGTCATGATTATTGGACATATATATATATATGTTGTAATACTAATTTGTCTTGCTTCGCCTTGGCCTTGCTGAATCTTGCCGAGGGCTGTGCAAAACCTTCATTTCCGATAGGGGACGACCCTAATTTGTGCATACATATATATATATATAATATATGCACACACATATATATATAGATTAAGACAAACATTGATTGATGGGTGGCTTCACCCTAAATAAAGTAGGTAATTGCCAGGTCTGCCTCTGAAATGTTATTTTCTGCAGACGGAGCCTTTTTACAATGATGAGTGCAAAGAAAGAGAGAGAGAGAGATAGCAAGAAAAAGAGAGACACAGAGAGGGTAGATTTCTGGTCGAACATTCTCAGTGACAGACAATGCTTCCTTGCAGCAATGGGATTGATGTTCTACTGTATGGTTTGTCTCATTTTGTCTCCTTGTTCCGATCTTTTGTCATCTTTTGTCATTGTTTTCTGGGTACCTGTCCGCTCATGTGAATTCTGGTCGGGTAGATATGGGCTGGAGCACGAGCGCATGTATGCAGCAACTGAACTGGACACTGGAACTGGATGCTCTGTAAGAAATATTAGGAAATGAACCCTTCCACTCAATTCAAGTCTACTGATGTCTACTGTAATTGCGGGTTGTTGCCACGGCGCTTTCATGAAGGACTTGCGCGCAAAGGTGCGAAAGGAATGCAAGCGTTTGCATGTCAACGAGTCCGATTTTGCACCCTGACTGCACATTTGTGGACGGCTGAGGTTGCATTTCTCAACATTCAAATGAGAGCTGAGCTCGTTTGCAGGCACCATTCTTTTCTAGGGGATTGCCATTATGGCATTATAGTCAGTTTGACCCCCTCACCTTCCTCACTCACGGCGCCGGCCAAGACAAATGTTTCCAGGTAGTGGATGAGTCTCTGGAGGGCGGAGCTCAATTCAAAGCTTTGACTCAGCAGCTGCAGCGTTTGGACGGTGTAGTAGCTGAGCGCGTGGATGCAGTCCTGGCGGCCCGAGGACGGGGTGAAAATTTGGGCTGCCGGCCTCGCAGCATCAAATTTCTGTGATTTTCTATGGCCCTCGGCAGATCCCTCCAGCAATGACTCTATATAGAAATACACTGCTCAAACATAATCAAGGCCTGCACCGAACCAGAACCTCACAAGGGTTCGGACCAGGAAATTCATGGTGGGACCTGGGATCATTGTGATCATTGAGGGATGAGGGATGAGGAATGGAACCCTCAAGAGGATGGGGCCACATCAGAGGCATCCCACCGTAATCACACTGCATCTGCTGGTAGTGAGTTGAACATAGTCCGTTCCCGGATCACATTGCAGACGCAGTAGATATATTTGATGGGGCTTTGCCGGGAGCTATGATTCGATCAAATGGCCGGCTGCTCATAGTAGCGTGCTTTGCTCAGCCAAGTTGGCTAAATGCTTGAGCAGCGAGCGCCTTGCAGGACGCATACGCAAATTGAAGGACAAGTTGGGCGAGAACTTGGAGTTTCGCCTGGCCTTCGATGGCGAATTGCCAGGCAGTGAGGGTGGCGTTGTGGTTTTGGAGAAGAACCTTTGCAGAAAGTTTATCCGGGTGGAGGAGGTTGGCTCGGAAGTGTTTGGGAACGCGAATGGAAGAACGTGTGCCGGCGTGAGCTTTTCCTTTTGTCAAATGTTGTGCTGAGAAGACAGTGCACCAAACATTGTCGCTGCTTGTGGCTATTCTGTAGAGAGAGAGAGAGAGAGACCGCAGACGGTTCAGTTTAGGCTGATACTATATATCATTTTCTTTGTCCTTCGTGTGCCAAGGACAGCTGAAAACGAGAAATTCATCCGAGATTTGGCAGAGTTTAAGGATCCTGGAAATAAGGACGTGTCCCTCTTCAGCCGGTGTATTGGGCACCTCAAGATGTTGGAGTCCTCATATTCTGAAGAGCTTGACCGGAGAAAGCCTCAGAAACGCTCCCGATCGTCTGATTCGGATGGCTCTCGTTCGCGCTCACGAGCCAAAAAGAAAGACAAAAAGAAAAGACACTCCAAAAAGGATGAAAAGGACAGAGCAGAAAAAGACAAGAAAAAAAGAGCCAGAGAAAGCCCAGAGCAGGAGAGAGCTGACAAAAACAGCGAGAACGGTGAGTCAGCTCCATTGTCACCAGGACATGGCTGGAAACCCGAAGGGGACCAGGGTCAGAGCCAAGCCAATGTGCCATGGAAGCCACCAAGTGATGCGGCTCCTGCCTACGGTGCTCCACCCCCTGGCTATGCTTATCCGAATCCTCACATGCCAGGCCACCCACCACCGCATGCGCCAGGCCATCCACCTCCACGAGGTCCAGCACCAGGACCTCCACCCGGCTATCCAAGCTACCCGTCCTACCCAGGCTACTACCCACCCCATGATGCGTGGGCTGCATATGCTGCTTCCCGGCCTCCATATGCGGCAGGCCCTCCACCACCCGGACCGCCTCCAGGACATGTTCCACCCCACCCGCCACATCATCCTCATCACATGCACCTTCCTCCACAGGCACCTCCTCCCCGTCCTCAACTGCCACCACAAGCTCCACCACAAGGGCCTCCACCACACGGACCTCCGCCTCCAAACTCTGCACCTCAGGGGCATCCACCCCAGAACCATCCATTGGGTCCTCCACCACATGGTCCTCCACCACATGGTCCTCCCCCACAAGGTCCTCCGCCGGGTGTTCCACCGCCCCCCCACCAAGCTGTTCCTATGGAGGACGATCCTAGACACTTTTCCAAGGCATCTGCTCCGCCTCCAGAGAAGGCGCCACTTCAGCCCGTCTTCCCATGTTTAGTGGGTGGGCCACCACCTGCGCAGGGGCCACCACCTGGATATCCTGCAGGAGTTGGTCCCCCAAACAACTGGTGAAGTGCTTAGCGCAGTGTCACTGTTTAAACGCAAGTGCACCGGCCCTTTCGGCGAATGTGACGACTGGACTGCATGGTGTATGTTGATGCAGCCGCTTCAGTTTCAAAAGGAAAGCAAGCAAAACGCATATTGCGCGTGTGTCCTGCTGAATTTGAGCAAATGTGTGAACAGGATCTAGCATGTCTAGCGAGATTTCACATGCAGCCCTCCAGCACCTATAATTAATCAACGTGAATCTTAGCTAACCGTGTTCATGATTTCCCTGTAGAGTGAGATGGGCCTCAAAGAGCTTGAACATCCCCGGCCCTTTTGAAGCTGCATCCGCCTGTGGTCACGCCATGGGCAGAAGCATTGCCTGCCCATCAAACTTCCATGGCGCAGAAGGGAGAGGGTGCGGTTGGTCCTTCTAGCCGCATTGGCTTGGTAGGCCGGTGTTCCCGATTTGCGATCTCTGGTATGTCAGGTGTTTGCAACGGAGAAGGTTCCAAGAACAGGTGCAGTACTGTATATCATAGAAACAACGTTCATTATGTTCATTATAATGTCATAATTGTTCATAACTTTAAATCCGATCAATCATAATCATATGTCATCCCCTTTCTGCACACTATCATGGCATTGAAATCTTCAGAATCATCTTTTTATGCTCACCATGCCAGGCCAGACCATTGCTTTGGAGAACCGCAGTAGCCGTGCCAGCTCAGTATTAACACCATCCTTGGCACGGATTGCTGACAAGGATGTTGAGGTGGAGCTGCGTGGCCTTTCACAACCCCTTTTCAAGGCAGGGCTGAATTCTTGGGATTTGTTGATCCAGCTGTGTCAACATGGCTGAATTCAATATTCAAGAGGTGTCGGCGTATTCTTAGAGCTGTTTTCATCTGTTTTCCTAATGTTTCCCAGGTGGGTGGAAAGCTGGGCAATATTGTCACCAGCAGCTCTCTAAGTCAAATCCACCGCGGATGGCGCATCATTGCTGTGAACGGTCAGCGCTTGGCAGCTGAAGAAGTTTCCAAGGCCCTGGCTGCTGCACAAAAGATGGCAAAGTACACGGTGACATTCGGCTTGGAGGATGAGGCAAAGAGCGATCTTCCAAACGGTGACCGTTTAGACAAGGAACGCAAAGAACGGGAGCGTTTTGACAACGAACGTTTGGAAAAGGCACGGCTTGAGAAGGAAAGATCGGAGAAGGAACGGTTGGAGAAGGAACGCTTGGAGAAGGAACGGTTGGAGAAGGAGCGTTTGGAGAAGGAACGGCGGGACGAACAGGAAAAAGAGAGGCTAGCGAAAGCCCGAGACAAAGAACGCAAACAAGAGGCTGAGAAAAGAGCAGCTCGTGAAGTTGCCGAAAAGAGCTTCTTGGGCCAACTTGTTGTAGATTTGTCTCTGCCTCCATCATCCTTGTCTCCTTCTGGGTCTCTGTTTCTGCTTCAATCTCCCTCCCTTTGATGATGCCTGCCCTCTTGTAAAGCATCGTAAAGCATCCTTTGCCCTGACTGACTCAACCGTTCAACCCAGGCTTGGAGCAATCCACCGGCCTACCGCCCAGAGAAACAGTTCAAGAACCGCAGCGTGCTTTGTTGGCAGCCTTGGCACCTGTGACCAGGTCACCTACCCCAGAGGCTAAGCCTAAAGGGCCATGTGACAAATGTGATGGACCACATGCTACAGATGATTGTCCCCATTTCAAAAAGCCTCGAGATGATCACAAGGATGCATATGAAAACTACCAGAAGACGCAGAAGACGCTTGCTCTTTATTTTGATTGCTCTTGCCAATGACTTATCCAATGGTTGATCGGTGTTTTCTCCACTGTTTGATTTTATTCAATAGCTGGCCAGTGGGTTAGGTAGGTGATGGTTTGCGGTTCCGGAGACAAAGGAATTGTGAGTATGGGGACGGGATTTTCACAGAAAATCAAATCCATCAGTCAAAGAGACAAAAACGCCTATTGAAAAAACAATGCAACGAGCCTCACAGCAGTTTCCCTTTTTCTTTGCCAAGGACAGGTTCAGAAAAGATTGAGGAGGTGAAACTGAGTTCTGCATCTTGCCGCGTTCTGCCACAGCCGGGAGATGGCTCGTGCTTGTTCCATTCCATGAATCATGGCTTGAAAGGTCAGCCGCCTACAGCTGATCCACCTTTCCAAATCTTTCAGTTATCAGTTATTAGATGTTATTAGGGTGATCATGTTCATCACAGCATTGGCAGGCAGAAATGCGCTGGATTCAGTAAAGTAAAATGCGTTTCCGGCCCATGGTTTCTTTGGCTTTGTGGCTTAGTCCTCCCCTGAAGGTTCAGGAGCATCAGCTTTGAGGGCAGAGATTGCTGACTACATTGCAGCACATCCTTCCGAAGAAGTGGCAGGCGGGGTTGGTGTGTGATGACGTTTAGCTGTGCGTAATGATGCTAGAAAGGTGTGTCGAACATATTGCAGCACCTAAAGATCCTGCTTTTAGCTGTGCCGTGCAAGGAAATCCAGTGTCCGACTGGGTGCTATGGGATTCTGGCGAGGATCCTGCATCTTATGCGCGCTCCATGAGAGCGGGGTCTCGATGGGGTGGCGCAATGGAAATCGCGCTGTGCGCAAAACTGCGCCATGCGTTTATTGAGATCTTCGAACGAAGACCTGACCATTTTGTCAGAATTGCCTCCTTCGGGGATAGCCGGGCGGCAAACCGAATACGACTCCTTTATGGAGGTCGCATTCACTATGACGCAATCGAGACTAGATGAAGCGTTTCGGGAAAAAAGACGGTCAACTTACAGATGCTTGTTGTGCTGATTGCTTTGACTCCTGGCACGGCCATTCCATGATTCAGAAGAAAGCCCGTGCAAAAGTTCAAGCCCCAGCGTGTACCCCAAGTTCTGCTTGGACTCCTCAAGGTTGGGGCCGTCTCCAGATTTCCCAGCTAGATGACATGCCGGATGAGGCGAGGCACACATCCAGTCACAGTGTGAACTCTGCGAAAGATTTGAAGTCGTTCAAGAGGGTTGTGTAGCAGAACTATGTAACACATTGTAAGACTTAGCTCTTTTCCAACAATCCGGGCTTAAAGACACTGTGTTTGTTTTGCTGATTTTGCTGGGTGCTAATTTCCAACAACAGGTTACTTCCATTTTCTGTTCCATTGTTGTGCCATACCGGCTCACCGCGTTCCAACTGTTTGGAGGTGAGCAGCTGGTCCAGCTGATCCAGCTGGGTTGAAGGATGTGCTTTGGGCAGCACCGGTGCAAAAAAGATGCGGCCGCAGTTGGGATCAGAAAGGGAGGAGTTTGAACAGTCGACTCAGGGTGAGACCAATGACACCAACGAACCCTGTCTCAGCTGTGCAGGCAGGAGCAGACCAGATGCTTTGCCATGCGCTTGCCAGCATATCGCTTCAAAAGGGAGGTCCCTGAGGACTTGGAGCCGATACCGGTGGCGATTATTGGAAGACCCAATGTGGGGAAGTCCACCCTCTTCAATCGCTTGCAGTCTGGTAGGAGCCCCAGTTGTGAGCGCCAGGCAGTGGCAACATAATGCGTTTATTTGGTTTACCCACACATGTATGCAAAGTACAAGGCTATTGCATGGTTTTTCTTTGGGTTTTCTTTGGCTTTTCTTTGTGTGTTGTGCTTTGCTTGGACCGCTTAAGCGACACCGTTGGGATTTGCATATTTTTGTTGAAAGCTGACCTTGAGGTACGCGCAAGCAGAAAAAGAAGAATCCAGTTGACCACAAGGCAATTGTTAGCAACCGAGCAGGACTGATGTAGCAATCCTGCTCCTTGCAACAGAAAGCGGGAGGGTGGCGAAGTGCATCGAAATGTTAACCCTAAGACACGAGCCTGCAGGAACCACCCGCGACCGAAAGGATGCGCTGGCTGTTTTTGGTGGGCTCGGAGCCCCAGTGTGGCGCTTGTGTGGATGATTGCAATGCCAGATCATCTGCGTCATTTGACCAAACTTGCTGAGCCATTTAAAATGGACCGTGCTTGAGGATGCTGCTGCGAGTTATTGATACTGGGGGGTTGGAGACGCCCAACGAGACATTGAAAAGCACCCTACTGTGGCTTGGTTGCATTATGTTGCATTGCATTCTTGTGACAAATGTTCGTTTTGGAGCATTTTGGAGCGACTAGTTGGCAAGTAGTTGAATGCTTCACGCAAGCCTTCTGCTCAGTCATCTCTCCCCCTCTCCACTTGTGTCTGGGTGTCATGGTGGTCCGTTTCATCATTGCCAGCGCGATGCCCGAAGGCAAAGTATGCAAGAGCAAGTTTGGAAAGCCATTGCCGAGGCATTCGCATTTCCATTGTGGCCACCAATCTTTGTCCGATTTTGCATGATTTTATGATTTTGCTATTTAGCAGGGTGATGGCATGATTCCCATGTGCTGTGCTTTCACTTCGCGCCAGGCGCAGGCAATTCTCTTTGTTATTGATGCGCAGGAAGGAGTGTGCCTGCCACGGGCCTTGAACCTTTTGCATCCTTTTGCTTGGCATCCACTTCATCCCATTTGGTCAAGTTGCTACTTAGAAGCTTGCGTGATTTGAATCTTTCAAGGTCTCTTGTCAAAAAATGCAGGCAAACAGCTATTTGCTGCTACACATCTTGATTAGTTTTTGCTCCCTTGAGCTGGGTGCGGTAGGTCTAGTCACTTTGCCAAACTCATTTCATTCCAGGGACATCCAGGGACCTTGCAAAACAGGTCTATGAACAAACCATACTTTGGATGTACTTCGCGCATGCTGTTTTGCAAAACACTCCTTTTGATGGCAGGTCACCCCGACAGATGTGCATATCGCGCAGATGCTGCGAGAGGGTGCTGGCAATGCCTTTGGCTGAGGGTTTTTTTTAGTAATTTTAGTTGCTACATTGATACGGTGAATATATAGGGGTTCCTAGATGTGCAAGTTTCTCACAACTGATTGATACATCAGTGGAATTCACTTGCGTTGTAACTCATGACGCAATATTTGAAGAAGTCCAGGAATCTCACCGGGCATTGACAGCCAGATTCCTGTCAAGTTACATTGACAGCTAAGGCTGACAAGTACCGGGAATTGTTCAAGACCAACACACCCAAAGAGGTGCCGTTTGAACCTCAACGCCGTAACACCCAGTGTGGCATATGGATTCGTGGAGGCCCTTGCTCCCAAACAAGCCAAGGATCATTCTCATTGCGAACAAGGCGGAGAACGCCTTCATTGGACCATACTTAAATGACTGCTATGAATTGGGCGTGGGAGATCCAGTCCGGTTCTTAGTCCCTGCATTGTGCCCTTGCATTTTCTGTTGCATCGATGCAAGAAGCTGCCATGCACAGTCAAACCCAACTTGGTCACAATGTGCAGTGCCAGTTCAGTAGTGTAGTGAACTTGTTGAGGTGATAATGTCTGCAAAGCAGAACCAGGGCACTGTTTGGTGCCCAGATGCCTTTGTTCGAAGAGGGCTTCGGGAATCAAAGTTCAGTAGTGGCCTGCTTGCGGCAATGATGCCTTTTCTGTGAGGAGGAGTTGTATGACCGGCTGTTCTTAGAAGTTGGACATCTTCAGCAAAAAGAAGAGGAAGCTCATAGTGCTTGGAAGCCAAAACATTGGGTTGGCTGGGCGGCAAAGCTTTCACGCGCATTCCCTTAACCACCGCGGCATCAAAAACTGACGCCCACCAGAGTTGGCGATGCTTCCCTCATTTGCATAGGAGATCAATCCTGGGACTGCATTCATGGACACGGGTGATCCCATGCTCTTAGAGGACGAGGTGCCAGTGGGTGAGGGTCCAACACCATGGACCATCGGCAATGTCTGCTCTGACAATTTAGGATGCATCAAAATATACCACAGTTTGCGTCGTTCAAATTCACCAGCTTTCCATGGTGATTCAGATTGAAGTGGTGCTTCCCCTGCAGGAGGAAGAGCCAGGAGAGGAGGACCCTTCCAGGGGGAATGGGTAGCCAGGGGTTGGAGAAAAGGGATGCCAGAATGGCTTGGAAAGTGGGAAGGGCCATTGGGGGAAAACTTGTCCTAGCAAAACTTTGGAAGGATTTTGCTGGCCCTGGAGTCATGTACAACAACCCCAACAAGAGATAAAAGTGTTTCCAGGATGTTTATATTGACTTCATATTTCCAGGTTTCCAACTTTCCTATTTTTTGCAGATTAACATGCTTTTCATACTTAGTAGGTTTGAAAAGGGCAGATCAAACGCACACACACACACCAACACGCATGTGCAGGATGAGGTGGATGAAGATGAAGAAGCAGATGAGCAACCTTCAGGTTCGAGCAAGCTGTTTTTCGGAGACCGGGTAAAAGATGTGCCCGCGCCACTTCATCCAGAGCAACGTAGTCGCACCGCTCGGAGGGCCGACGCTTCCTTGGTTGTCCCTCGAGATGTCGGAAGCACAGAGGACCTCTCTGAGGCAGGGCAGCATGGAACGGATATGAACAGACCAACTTCCAGGACGACGCAGTGGACCCAATGGACCCAGTGTTTCAATATGTTTCTATGCTTTTCAGGCCTTACACTTCTCTTCAGGTACTTGGCACACCACCCCGCTGATCCACTGGGAGATCTTGACCCAGGATTAAAAGCTGGCGGCTCAGAGTCGCTGTATTTCAATTTGTCTTATTGACTCTCACGCAGAGTGGAGTGGAGAAAGCACAGCTCAAGGCTTTGAGTGAATGATGACAAGATATTGACAAGAGATGGTGCCAACAGCCATCGTCAATCATCGTCATTTCTCATCATTTCTCCATTTTTGCCAGTCAGTGGCTTTCCGACGTATATGGCAGCCATAAAGGCATACATTCACTTGGCCATTTGGATGTGGACAGTGTCCTTTGAAAGGCAATCTGCCACGATCGGTGCTGCCAAGGCTGCGGTGATGCACGAGCACCCTGGGAAGTGGTGGCTGAATGTTCCTCCCTCATGTGAGAGGGCAGCGCTGCACACACACACACATACATGTCTATGCATTTCTGTAAATCCTATAAAGGCGTTTCATGTCCAGTCTAGCAGTCTAGTTGTAATTCTTGAACGTTAAAAGGAGAGAGCTGGAGAGAGCCATTGCTTGAGCCACTGCTCGAAGCTGGGTCCTGAGGCTCCTCAGCGTGCTCTTCCAACGAAAGAGGTGCGCCTCCAGCACAGGTGTCCCGCCATGGACAGAACCGGTCCCCACTGCTATCCAAGCAGGGGTCGCCCGACTTCCAAGGGGGATCAGAACAGAATATATAGATCAAGGTGCGAGGAAGAGATTTCCGATGACCCCATTGGAAAGAACCGGGGCAACACATCTAAGCCATGGATAGTCATGGCCTGTCATGGCAGTTTCTGCAAGGCGAGGGACTACGTGCTTCGGTGAAAGCCTCGGAAGACAATTCTTGGAGATTCTTGGAGTATATAAATTGATATAAATTGTAAGCCAATGTAAGCTATAGATAGCTATATAGATTGTAAGCCTTTAAAAAAAAGGCCGTCTACATCGTTTTCTACAGAAGTTTTCTCATCGAATCACTGAACCTGTCCCATGCAAAACCAAGGCACCGCCGGGCCGAGGAGATGGAGAATGCCATGAAGATTGCCCTGGTTGGACGGCCAAGTTCTGGAAAGTGGGGATGCCCAGAAACCCAAAAAAATCCAGGCGAAACAAGTCGACCTACGGATATCTACGGTGTCTTGGCAGAATTAGATATTATTAGAATATATTAGAATATATTAGATACGTTGAATTGCTGACGGAGTTTCGGACATGGGTTTGGTTTGAGAAGCTTCTAGCGAAAGTGGTTCTGCTTGAGTTTTCTGGTGCAAGTTTCCAGGTCAAGTATCATCAATGCACTGCTCCAGGAGGAAAGATGCATCGTATCCTTGGCTTTTTTGTTAAATCTGACTCCTGGGTTTGGCCGAACTCCAGATTGTGAGCCTACACAGCCAGGTGGATGAGACCGATGGTACAACGATGGACTCCATTGTCACCGATTGGTGGCGTTCTCAGGGTTCCGATCCATGAGTCTCCTATGATCTCAGCACGCATAATAAACACATTTTTTATCATGTGTTCAATATTCTTCAGCCAGTTTCATTAGTCTTGGTATGTCTTGGTCAAGACACAATCGGGCACCTCACTTCTTGTGAATTTGTGGAAGACAGCTTGAACATGAAGCCACCATCCGATACCATGATGCACCATCAAGACAGGCGTATTCTATCTATTGTTCTGATATGTTCTGATGGACAATGGAGCAGTCAGCAGTCTCAATAAGGAGGCATGCGGTAAACCTCACACGCACACAGAGCCACACACGCACACACCTAGGGAGAGAGAGAGAGAGAGAGTTAGATGGATGGATGGATGGATGGATGGATGGATGCACCGACACATACACACACACACAGAAATACATTACATAGATCGAGATCGCCCCTTTTACCCGTACCCGAGCTTGTCATCTTGTGGGCTTAAAAACACCAAGTTGTCTGCTGAAAGCTGAGCAGGTGCTTCAAAGAGCAGCCTATCAAGCTCATTGACACGCCTGGCAGCCCAATGTGTTCCCATGTGATGAACCGCTCCATGACTCCCGGCTGAGCTTCCCAGGACACCTTCTCTGCTGCCACTCCCAAGGTGTGGACTCCACAAGAACTTCAGTTATCCCGGCATTCGCTCCCCAGAGTTTGGTGCCCAAGAGTACCATATGGCAAAACAGGGCATTCAAACTGACTCAAACCAAAGTTACAGCATCAGAATCATGATAGTCATAGTCAAACTCGGCCTTCTCCGCCTTTTGCCTCGGTCCGACATCGAGGTTTATTGAGCCCGGAATGGGCACGAAGAAAGCCATTCGCCGTGTCGATGGCTGAAGCAGTGCCAAGTGGAGATTTTAGGATATTGCAAGTCAACTCAAGGTTTTTGGCTATTGCCAGATCCAGAGAATCCTTGAGGCGCATGTGGTTGTTCTATGCCTTGATGCTGTTCGTCATGTCAAAACCACCAACAACTACAACTCCTGTGTCTTGGCTTTCCAGATTCAGGATTTCTTCAGCCCAAGAGGCGTCGTTTGGATTTCTTGGAATGCCGGCATTTTGCACTTGAACATGCCTCGATGTGTGAAACTGTGTAACTATATGGTCCCACATGGTTCCACTTTGCCGAGGCCCAACAAATTTTGAGGTGAAACTGGGGCAGTATGTGGTGGACGAAGGGAAGTGTTTGGTCATTGCCTGGTACTCAGTGGACTCAGTGGAGAGCTGCGCTGACGAGACATCCGCTGATGTTTGGGCTTTGGGCTTGGGCGGCTTGGGGTCAGTTTTCAGCTTTGGCTAGCCAGGTTCTAGATATTTCTAGATGCACCTGCAAGTTGTCCCAAACATTTGAAGCAAATCACCACATCCATGTGCTTGAGACATGAGATTATCACAGCACAGCGTGCAGAGTTGCTCCAATCATTCGGTAAATTCAAGTTACAAGGAAGGAGCGTTCCGGGAACATGGGTCATTTTACATCTTTATTTGCCAAGTTTTCTTCTTGTAAAATCTTGTAAGTGGGGTGTTGGGAACAACCTTGGCACCCACAAAGATTGTCTCAATTTGTGTCTTGTGAGCATCAGCTTGGTGCTATTAAAAGAGATGGCTGTCTCGCAGACAAGTGGCTGATCAGAAATCATGGATGATGTAAAAGCATGCAAAATTATCTGTATGATCCATCATCAAACACACCAAGTCCAGCCCGGTTGAAGCATGTGGTTTCTGCAAGCGTCGTTTCTCAGGATAATCCTTCAACAGATTCAATGCAACGTGACACGGACCTCAGGATGTAGCCCTAGACTGTGACCTCACTGGGCCAAAGCCAAAGCCAAGACTTGTCTTGGCTGATTGGAACAACTTGATAACATGTATAGTATATTAGTATATTACAGTAGTTAGTGCATGTTAATGATCATAATATATAAATATATAAATACGATAACAGTCATCATCATGATGTTACTGTAACAGTAACCATCCTTTGGGGGGCATCCAGTCTTGCAGCGCCATGTTTCCACCGTGTGTGGATGCCAGTGCTGGGAGTGTGGCTTCTGCCTCTGTGGCCTCAGAGATGCTCAAAGATGGAGCCGATGGAGCTGAGCAAAGCGGCTGGCGGCTCCTGCAGCTCTCTGCCTGTGACATTTTGGAGGTGCCCAAACGCATCAAACGATCAAACGCCGGAGCTCAAAGTTGGATGAAGCCGTTGAACATGGTTTCTTATGGATTCCTATGATTCCTCATTGGTCAATAGGCGTCCAGAGCAACCAACACCTCCCATAGGTCCAGGATCATCAGGAGTCGCCACGATCCATAAGGGCCTGTGCCGAGGAAGAGCTGGCGATGGAAAAGTTTGCCCAGGTTGTTGAGAGCGGCGCAACTGAGCTGTCAAAGGGTGACCGCGTGGGGATTTTCTTCCTTTTTTTTGCCCTTGCTTTGGAACAAGTCTGTCTTGGTCCTGGGTTCCCAGAGCTGAACCTTGAAAGATTTGAAAGTGAGCTTCCAAAACCGGGAAAAAGTGCAAAGGACGAAGCAGTCCCCTTTTCATTTCTTGAGCCAAAGCAAAAGGTGCGAGGCAATCCTTGCGCAGGGGCCATGCAATGGAACATCATCCAAACTGCACAGCGGCCATGCTAATCTTCTCACATCTATTCCAAGATAACACTTCTTGATTTGTGCGTGTCATCCTTTTGAACATGCCACCACACAAAGCAATTGCACCCTGTGCATAAACTGATGGACATGATATGACATGATGGACGTTCTTTCCCTTTGCCTTCACGGACCTGCTGGTGTTCATCGAGGTAATTGCTGCCGTCTTGCTAGATCCAGATGGGGATGCTGCAGGGCGCATGGATGCCCAGCAAGGGGGAAAGGAGTGGTCCACTTCCACTGTGCCTGTCCATGCGGACTCATGTTTGAAGGAACACAGCTGGACCCATGAAGCCACATGTTTGTATGAACTGGTGCCGAGATGTGTCGAGTCTGGATCAAATTCTTGCACTGCACTTGACTGTCACCACACCATCCCGCAGAGGCTTTGGACATTCTGGTGCATGCCGCGCTATGGCTTCTATGATGGTGAGGCATGTCCTGTTGGCGCTGTTTTGACTGTGCAGTGAAGATGACACTGAGATGTGCTTCCCGCATCATGGTCATGGCGTTGTGAGGCAAACGCGGCCAAAGCGCTTGCACCGCTTTGGTGGCCGTCTCAGACGGCGAAGACAAGGCAGGGGCAGTCGCAGATTGTAAGCAAGCACTGAAAGCACATGAAAGCACAGTCCAGGTCCACGTGAAGCTTGGATTCACAAAGAAGCGACCAGTTCGGCCGAAAGATCCAAACCTGCGGTGGCTTGGCCACCAAAGACATGGTGTTTTGTAATGTTTTGTACGGTTGCATCATCCTTTTTCTGTTTGGTGCGCTGTTGTGGTCAGCAGCTGAGTTGAATGTTGGGTCCAGGGTGGATGGCAGCTCAGGATGATTCGGAAAAGCCATCGCCACAAGAAGATGCGAGCGTTTGCAGCGTGGCTGCGGATTTTTTCCTTGGCCATGCGAAGGCCAGACTGTTCCGCAATGGACAATGTTATTTATATGGCCAAATATTATGGTATACTATATTTGCATACACATATGTATATGTATATATATAAATATATAGCATCCATCACCTTGGAGTAATATATATATATATATAATATTGGTATGATGGGAAATCCGACACCGTTGATAGAAACCCTCATCAGCCCAGGAAGACTCGCGGATCCAGAATTGGTTGATCGGAACAATTACAAGAGACCCACCCGGCCCTGGTCCATTTCTATTTCTATTTTCTTATTTGGTGGTCAAACCATTTACCTTTAGTGTCCGAAAATCCAGTGAAGGTGCAAGCGAAGCTGGATTTGTCGAGCTGGATGGCCTCTCTGCCGGAGCAGCTTCCAATCTCCCAGGTGCCATTTGACCCACTTGGGGCCCCATGATTTGCAGTGCCTCTCTCGGCACTCAGGGGATGTCGGAGGACCGTAACTTGCAAAAGTCAAGTCCCTGCAGGTATCGATTCCTGGCACCCACGACTCTGCGACCTTTCAAATGACAGAGTTGTCACGGAGCTGGGACACTGGTCAGCCGGGAAAATACCACATGAAAATAGCTGAAACCCTTTGAATGCCCATTTTCTTGCCATTGGCGCAACGAATGCTATTGCACTGACTGTTTGCACTTGGTTTCTGTTGATCTGAAGTGGATGAGTGACACCTAAACACTTGATTTCAAGAAAGGTTGCGTTTGACTGGGATGTTAAGGCGCCAGCCTTGTTCTTGTTGAAGAGTCGTTGCATTCTGACAGGGCCAAGATTTCAAGTACGGGGCTATAGTCCAGATGTTGGCGTTGGCAATGCTAAGGAATACCTTGGAGCTTTCGGCCGGACACAGGAGTGGGACTTGCCAACCCAGCTGTCTTCAGGCGGGGTCACCAAAAATGTGCAATCGCGGGGTCGTGTTGAGAGCAGCATGATAATGATAGTCATGCATTCTAGGTCATTTGATGCTATATAGATAGTTCTAGCGTTTAGCAGTTTTCCTGCCAAAAATAAGTGCCCGTTGAATTGGCTGAGTGCAAGCCTGCAGGCGTTCGCTTCTTTGACCTGCGAGTGAAAGGCGATGGCTGGTTGTACCTTGGAAGTCACCAATCGAACCTCCCAGGAAGATTTCAGCCTTTCTCGACTCGACTCTCTCTGCAGTCCAAGGTACCATGGTCCCATGGCCTGTTCCTTGAACTTGCAGAAAGCTTTGGAAAGCTGTGCAGCCTTCCTGCAAGAGCATCAGAGTGAGTTCCTCATCCTCCGACGCTTGAAACGGAAATGGATCGAAATGGATCAAGCAGAGGCAGCCAAAACCTGGTCTGAGCTCCTAAACTCCCTAGACAGCATGTAGCTGTGTGGATGCTACCAGTAATGGGCTGACCATCAAAAAAGAGGGATTCGTCCCATGCTCCCCATTTTGAACCCAGAAGGATCAGCGCCACCATCAGCTACAACCTTTTCACCCAGGAATAAAAGATGAAGAGCGGAGTCGCACTTCAGCACAGAAGATTCAAGATCTTGTGAAACGACTTTCTAAGTCCTTGCCACTTCACTTCAGCCGCTTGTCAGAAGCGAGATGGGAGATGTTTAGCTTTGATTTGATTCCAACTTTTTTCCCTCTCCCAGGTATGGACCTTCAGCTAGTTGGACATCTCCGCGGTCAGATGTTTGTGTTGCAAGACTGGTATGGCAGGGATGCTTCTTTGCGATGGGACGGGCCTTCCATGAAAGTCCAGGACTTCTGGAGTCCAGGTGGCTCGGAGAGCTCGGAGGGCTCGATCTGTTCCTGTACTTTTTGGGCAATTGATGGAGAGAGAGAGACCTGAGATATCGATCATGTATGATCATGTGATCATATTATATTCTTGACTCCTTGACGTATCTACTCATGTTTATATCATTGCATGTAAAAAATAGCAGTGCAAATGAAAATGTAAAGGTCTTCAATCCATTCCCTCTTTTAACGGACACCCCCCAAATCTCATCAAATCTCTGGGTTCATTTTGGGGTCCCAATGGTCCTATTTATTGATGCCGATGCCCCAGGCTCGTGGAGGGAGAAGTGGGTCGCCATTCAAAAGCATCTTCGGGCAGCCCCGCGTCGGCAAGGCCTGGTCTGGTTGTGGATTGTTGTGGTGGAGCTGCCAGGCAGCTGCCCCAGTTGAACCATAAAGATTTGACAACTTATGAATTGCTAAGTCCATGAGAAGTATGAGAAGTGGAAGACATAGATTGCTGGGCCATTTGGATGTTTCATGGAGAAGTTTCCGCAGGTGACCGACTATGTGCCAACTTTGTGAGCGCGCAGCAGCTTGTTTGATGTCGGCTATTGATTTCAACCAAGCACCGCGAAACCTCCCAGACTTCATTCAAGACCTGTGGGTACCTCGCGGGTGTAACCATGTGGCCTGAGGCCTGAAACAAAAACTAGGGCTAGGTATGAGGGATAAGTGGCCTTGGACGACTGAATAGACAAAAGCCTCATCCATTCTTTTCTGCAGTGGTTGTTGTATACATGTATGTTGTTGTTTTAGTATGCTTTGCCTACACAATCTATGATGCGGCGTTGTTCCGCGTAGTGAGTTGGTCCCTTGGTATTCCAAGGTCGTTCCCTCGGAGAACTCCTCGATACTTTGCAGGCATTTTGAATCCTAGGTTATGCGCCACTATCTCCAGAGGTGGCTTGGCATCATATATGCCACATACATGTTGTAGATATTTATAGATATTTATAGATGCCATCCAGTCATTACATGCTTCATTTGCGCCGGGTATGTTAGGAATCACGCACGCATTGACAGAACCTACGAAGCCTCAAAACTTGAAAGTGTGTTGCACCGCACTGAGACAAGGTAAGCACCACGCCTTGGGCATTGTCTCAGCCTCGTTTATGCCGGACGCACTTGCCGGACTTGCAGAACTCTAGTCTTATCTACTCTCGCATTGATGACCACTGGTGGTTTTATGTTTTTGGAATCGGAATTATTTCAATCCGCCGATCTTATTTTCAGATGAGGTTGTGATGGATTTTCCTACTCGAGACCTGTGCATGGAGATTGTGCGCAAAAACTTTATGCAAAGTCAAGTAGCGGCCTCTCGAGTCCTGCGCGCCTTAGATGGCTGCAGTGAAGCATCTGGGCTGCATAGTGACAGAAAACCATGGTTTTCTATTACTGATTTGCACTCTGAAAGTTGGTACAATGTTCATCGTTGCATGTTCCTAGCAGTAGATGTCGTTGACATTGGAAAAGAATGCCCACGATGCTCACCCTTTACAAAAACAAATAGATTCAAATTCACACAGATGACACAGATTACACAGATTATTACAATAAAGATCTACCAAGTGTATCCTGAGGAGTATGGAGGCCTCTTGAGAGAAATAGATGGAGCTGCCCTGGCACCTGCAGTCGACGAGGATGCCTGGCAGGGTGAACCTGGTGAACCTGGGAAAGTGTGAAACCAGAACCATCCTTTTGTGTAATCCCATCAGGTAGAAAGCAGGGAAACCATGGGAAACCAGTGGAAATGGAGTGTGTGGGCGTCTTGTGCATTGCATGTGTGGAGTCTCTTCACTCATCAGGTATACGTTTTGGGCACTTGATTTGATTTTTGCTCCAACTGAATAAAGGAATTTGGATTGGTTGAATGGGCCTGTGGCCGAGGAATCTGTTCAAAAGCTGTCAGCGGTCTACTCACGATTGCTGCTGCAAAGAAGCATATTCGTCATTGCAACCTGGCACAGATCTTGGAGTTTCCTGGTTTTCTGTACTTGAAATGCGCCTTTTTCTGAGCGCCAAGCCACGTTTATGCACATTGGATCCACGCTTGATGCTGTCAGATCCGCAGGCAGCGAATGATATTCAAGAGAAGTGCAAAGCTCAAAGACAAGTGCCAAGCGAACTGCATCTGACTGCTTCGCAAATATCCTGGGTGTGGGAGAAGGAGATGCAACGGATGAAGAGAACGGTCACTTGGCAGCGTTGAACATCCACATCGGGTACGAAGTCAGGAGATCAATGAAGAGATTCAGACTCTTTAAATCTATATCTATATAGTTATATTAAAAAACTGGACCAATTGATCAATACCAAGAAATGCGAACGTTTCAGTCTGTTGGGGCATACTTACGCATTTTGGGCTAGAGCCCTCGGCATACAAGGACTGGTCACTAGCGTTCCGAAATGTTCCAAATACTCAGTGAGCTTTGTCCACAAACAGTGCTCCTACATCAACGATGTGAGCTGTTTCACCGTGTGGTCTAAGGTGCGGGAAGTGGCAAAAACTCATCCGGCAGGCATCTCAGGAAGTTCTGGGGTGCTTCAGGTGTGCGAATAGATGTGAATAGTTCCAGGCCAGACTAGCAGTGACTAGCGGCTTTACGATTGCTTCGCGAATGCTACGCGCAGCATGACTCAGTTAGCTGCCGGCTTAGGCCCTCCCCGTTTCTGATGGCTCGGATGAGAGAAAACCCAGAAGTTCAAGGCAACGGGCCAGTGGGTGAAGCGGTGCAGAACGATGCAGCTGAGGGCAAGAAACGATATGGAACGTCGAGAGGCAAACCATTCTCTTGACTGATTCATCTTTATGGGGGATGGGTTAAACTTGTGGACCTTTCGAATCCATTGTTCTTCCTATGTCAGTTGGGGGAGGCCCTGTGCCGGTCCAAGACTCAAGCATCTTACAATTTGCATGACACCTCTTGCAGCAGAGTTCGAAATCAGGCAATGTTAGATGAAGGCCTTGGAGTGCTTTTGTAGAAAGTCCAAGCGGTAGGGGCAAATCCGAGAGTTAATGGGAAAATCACAACAGTTTTCCCGAAAGTCTGCAACAAGGCACCCCCACCTTACCGATCCTTTCCGTAGATCACCAGCAGTCACTAGCAGCCACCAATAACTCGCAATTCTGCTCAGGAGACAGCGCGGAACGGTGCAACTTCATCGTGGTGATCAGGGAAGTCCCATACCGCAAGAGAAAATCAACAGTTTCCTTTGAGGAGCCCGATCTACATTTTTGTGCCCCTATGTCCCTGCAGGACTAGATGTTTACTTTCTCTTTTTTCCTCTCCATCATTTTCAGCCAATGCTCAGATGGTGGCTTTAAGTACCATGTCCACTGGACCATTCTGCGTTGGGCCTCATCCTACATCAGCACTCATGAATCATAATATCAGGATGCGGTTTTCTTGCCTAACTTCTGCATTTCTTGAGGGTTTGGAACCTTCAACTGGCTCTAGCAAGTGCGCTGTGCACCCATTGTTGCCTTCTTTGACTGTGTAGGGCTCCAACTTGCACCACATAACACGCTGAACACGCTGAACATGAGAGGAGATCAGTGGTCAATGCCACCGCTGCGCTGAGAGGTTCGGTCTGCAAGACTCGTTGAGCCCAAAATAGCCGTATGCAAGCGGTCGAGTTTGGGCGGATAGGTCCGGTAGGTCCGGTAGGTCCGGTAGGTGTGCCAATTTTCGAGATCTTTGGGGGCTCACCTGTCATGTGAATGGTGGCTGGCGCGGTTTGAGTGCCTGCTTGATTTGCTTGCTCCTTTTGTGCTTTCAGAACTTGAAGTTTGCAACAACTCAATCAACCATTGAGCAAAATTGGAGCTGAGGCTGTTAACAAATGGGACTTGATCCATGAAAATGACCAAGCAGAATACAGGGAGACAATCCTCAATAGGCCAGGGCGGCCAGGTAGCAGGGTCTCAGCTGGCATGTGGAACTTTAGCATAGACTATGCATAGACTATAATGTTGGTAATTATATATAATATATATATTATATATACAAGGCTCACGAATGGTATGCCATGGTATGCCACTTGCTAACCGCTTCCTTCAGCAGAGTGCTTGGTGACACCGTGTGACCACAGTAGGGGTCAAGCTCCGACAGGATCCACGAGAAGTTCGGAATTGTAAAAGGCGTTCCTGTCATTTTCATGTCAGCCAAGTACAACTTGAACCTTCCGACCTTGATGTGCCCTCGTCAGCATTTTGGTTCCGGAAGGAACTGAAGGACTCAGATTTTCTGATGTCAATGATGTCAACATAAAACCGCTAAAAAGATTTCAATGTTTCTCTGAAGAATTTAATTATGGGAGGAACATGTCATGGACGAACTAGAATCCAACCTGCTGATTGGAATCCAGAAGCAGGAGACCCCATCTATGATGGGTTGGCATTTGTAACTTCATGGGGTTCATGACACCTCGGGAAGCCTCAGTAGATACTATACTACCATCGTAGGCGTGGGCATCAACTGGCCTACTCATCAGTCCATCAAGCCCCGTTTTATGTTTCCCTTCTTCTTCCGAGTTTGAACGATATGGGCCACTCTGAATGGTAGAGCCAGGTTCTAGCAGCTTTCTTTGTTTTGTTCCCGTGTGGCCTCCCTTGGTAAACATCACAAAGTCTCAGCAGTCTCAGCGGTCTTAGGACAAGAAGCATGGCGCTTTATAAGCGCTGGAGCGCTCGCTTGCCAACGAGCAGGCCAAGCGGGGGTTTGTGCACGAGTGTAGCAACTCGCGCTGTGGGGTGTCCTCATGTTTTCTATAAGATATATGTAGCGATAGTTCGGACATTTCCAGCCTGAGCTTTCAGCTGAAATTTCAGAGGCATATTTATTTATTCGACCAGATCTCATCGGTTTGAGCTAAGGCACATTAAGGGGCTACGCCCCCTGCCGCCGACCCCTTGGAGAGAGGGGGAGTTTACACATACGTCACTTCCCGAACCTACAAGAAAACTATATGGGTACGAGTCAAAATACAAGGTATGGATCAAGGCGCCAAAGCTACACACGATCCATGCCCCCCGATCCATACTTTGATCCATACCCTGTGATATTGCATGATCCATACCTTTGATCCATACCCTTGATCCATACCCCTGATCCATACCCCTTTCTCGTTGAAGAAAGACTGATGCTGGCCTTAACGATGCTTTTTATCCTAATATATACTGCTTCTGGTTCTCGTACTGCTACTCCCATCGCTACTACCGTTGCTTCTACTGCTGCCTCCACTGCCTCCGCTGCTGCTGCCGCCGCCACTACTAGTGATTATCCTTCTCGCTGCTGGTGCTGGCTCACGTTCTCCGTGTGCTTCAGTAGTTGGACAGATGTAACTAGTTGACTAGCTACTAGCAATATTGCAAGTGCACCTTGGAGGCTTGTAAGACCGGTTCTACTTCCACTAGGTGCTTATTGTACTTCTAGTGGTGCTATGACTACAACTCCTTCTGTTTCTACTTTGCCTGGCACGTGTAGAACTAAAAAAGCATGGTGTCCTGATCCATACCCCGATCCAGACCCGTTCCATGCCTGGTCCATATCCGAACCCAGTCACGCCACAACAAGTGCCAATATGAAAGTTCGAATCTGTTACTACTTCTGCTGCTGCTTCTTGCTCTACTTGTGCTTCTACTTCTACTTCTGCTTGTACTTCTACTTCTACTTTTGCTGCTACTACTACTGCTTCTACTACTACTGCTGCTGCTGCTACTATTACTACTACTCCTACTGCTACTGCGACTGTTATTGCTACTGCTACTGCTCCTCCTCCTGCTCCTGCTCCTGCTGCTCTTCCTATTCCTACTCCTGCGCCTACTCCTCCTACTACTCCTAGTTCAACTGCAGCTGCTGCTGCTACTACCATTAGATTATTTTACTGTTATTACTTTGACTCTTACTAGTACTACTGTTACTGCTACTGCTATTTCTACTGCTACTGCAGCTCCTCCTTCTATTGCCGCTACTGCTGCTGGTGTTGTTTTTTTTTTTACTGCTCCCTCTACTAGCAGTGGCAACAGTTTTAGCAGCAACAGTAGCAGGAGGAGAAGTAATAGCAGGTAGGAGATAGTAGGAGTATCAGCACAGTTTGTATGCTATGATGAGCCCTTACGAAAGGGTACGGAGCAGCTACGTTACGTAACCACTCCCGATCCATAGTTCGGATCACCGCGGAGCAATCCATACCCGATTATTGACTCGCACCCATATAGCTGTCTAGCTGTTTCCAGCGGCCAAGGCCCAGAAAACGGCGCCTTCGCCACAGCGAAACAGCGGGGCCCTGAAGGACGGACCGGGCCTGCGGGCAACGGCTCTTACTGCCTAACGTTGCTTCTGAACCTACAAGAAAACTAGCAGTCTTCCAGCGGCCAAGGCCCAGAAAACGGCGCCTTCGCCACAGCGAAACAGCGGGGCCCTGAAGGACGGACCGGGCCTCCGGCCAACGGCTCTTACTGCCTAACGTTGCTTTCTGAACCTACAAGAAAACTAGCTGTCTTCCAGCGGCCAAGGCCCAGAAAACGGCGCCTTCGCCACAGCGAAACAGCAGGGCCCTGAAGGACGGACCGGGCCTGCGGGCAACGGCTCTTACTGCCTAAAGTTGCTTTCTGAACCTACAAGAAAACTAGCTGTCTTCCAGCGGCCAAGGCCCAGAAAACGGCGCCTTCACCACAGCGAAACAGCAGGGCCGGCCCAGAAAACGGCGCCTTCACCACAGCGAAACAGCAGGGCCCTGAAGGACGGACCGGGTCGGCCAAGGCCCAGAAAACGGCGCCTTCGCCACAGCGAAACAGCGGGGCCCTGAAGGACGGACCGGGCCTGCGGGCAACGGCTCTTACTGCCTAACGTTGCTTTCTGAACCTACAAGAAAACTAGCTATCTTCCAGCGGCCAAGGCCCAGAAAACGGCGCCTTCACCACAGCGAAACAGCAGGGCCCTGAAGGACGGACCGGGTCTGCGGGCAACGGCTCTTACTGCCTAACGTTGCTTTCTGAACCTACAAGAAAACTAGCTGTCTTCCAGCGGCCAAGGCCCAGAAACGATGATTGGTCATGATTGATTGGTCCAGATGGCCCACATCAAAGGTATTCGGACAAAGAAACAGGGACAGCCCATAGGATGTGGCGCTGCCCTACATATGGATATATAAATGCAACAATTTTGGCTAATACAGCATAATTGATCATAATTGACCATAATTGGCCATAATTCTTTTGAGTCATGAACATCCATTGTATCATATTGTATCCCAAGTGTTGGCGACATTCTCACTCTTGTTGCAGAGAGCCGAGGTGGCCGAGAATCCTTGTGGATCTTGTGGGATGGTCCTGGGATGGTGGTGGAATCTGGGATCATTGTGCCATTGTGCCATTGTGCCAGGTTGAACACCTGGCTACAGGCGCTGGACTCGCTGGACATCGACTGGGTAGCCGTGGTCATCCGTGGTCAGACCTGCGACCTGCTGCACGGGAGGCTTGGATGCTCCGCTGGCCACCGCCTTGGCAGAATGGTCAGAAGTCGGGCACCCAAACGGATCAGTAACGGATCCAGATGATCCAGGCAAAAAGTTCTCGGCTTTACGGAGTTTCAAAACCAGCGAAGTTTTATGGAGTTTATACGATGTCCTCGTATGCGCACGCACACACATATATTGCTGCAGAACATTGATGAATGAAGTATACAAATGGTTCATAATGAAATATCACAGCTGGACATGTTCAATTTCTGAACTTTGACGTGGAGCTACCATGAGCTACCAATGTCTTTGCGAAGCCTTTTTCTTCGTAGTGGTATATTGCAGTGCTTTAGCACTGACTGCAGCGGTAGAAGCAACATGGTTCAATTGGTATCAACCCACCAGGTGCTTCGATTCATATGATACACATTGATACATCAGACAATTTTTTGTGTTAAACTGTTAAACCGTAAACCATGGAGATTCACCTTCTACTTGAAGCAGACAGGGCGTGCTTCAGTGGTGGCATGTGTTATCTCCCAGGTGCAATGTGAAGTATGTCACTCAGACTAGGGTCCGGCATCCTAGCGGGATAAAGGTTTGCAAAACATGTGGAATTTGCGCATGACCCATTTGGCACGGCTCTTAAAGATGCACAAAACAAATCAAAACAAGACGATGGTTCTACTGAAATTGTACAGCACGTAGGCTTCCATCCAGCACTTTTCCCTGTACCAAAAACGCCACCAAGACGCGACCGCCAACCTTCGTGCTTTGGACCAATTCGACCTATGGGGAGTTTCCCTGGACCTACCTGCGGCAGCTGCGCAATGCGATGCGAGAAGAATTCCGCATCAGCCTGGGCACCAAAATGGGAATCCGAGGGCACAGGAGGTTTTTTTACATGGGAATCTAACTAGATCTATACAATTAGGATTCTGATGGATTCTGAGCTCCCATAGCTGGTGATGACTTCAAGAGCGCTGCTGCGCAGCTGACCACACGGCCCCTCAAGGCTTGGCTTGTTGGTACTGGGATTGCCTACATGCACGACAAAATTTTCAGTATGGACATGGTGACGTGTAGGTATTAGGGCACATACATACAAATACATTTCTCGGTAAAACGCATTAATAGGATATCACTTCACAAAAGCTAGCATCATTAGATGAAGTTGCTCTTGCTTTCGCAGAAAATATGGCAGGCGCTGGAGTCATGTATCGTGTGAAACTTGCTGGTAAAGGGAAGGGTATTGTAATCGAATGGTCATGGGGGTCGATCCCCGCAGGTCCCTGAACTTCAGCCTCACTTGATATCTGCACTAGACTAGGTGCATTCTTTCCTCACCAAACCCTCCTATATATCCATACTTGGCACTTCAGTAAAGCCTCCCTCCCCCAGCCTGACGAAACGAAACATTATGACAACGATGCGCAAACCTTATTTAACTTCTGTTGCCTCTTCTCAACCCATACTCATTGGCCCCTGATTCAACCTTCCCTGCCCCTGGCCCCAAGTACTCCTTCAAACTTTCACCATAATTGGGTTCTCCGGAAGCTAGGTAAGCCGGTTGTTTGTCGGGTTCGAGGTGGCGTGCCAATTCACTTTTTGATCCGCTCCACCATGATGCCAAAGCCGCGGAAAAAACTTGACAAGCATCTTGGATGCCAAGAGGGTGGGTGGTTTGACAAGCCCGAAAGGCATTGTTTTTGACAGCAGCAGGCAGGAGTTTGGTGCAACCCTGATTCTGCCAGATGGCCCTTGGCCCTGGAAATCAAGAATATCAAACCCCGCGAAGCAACATGATATATTTCTATTCACAAAATGATATATTTCTATGCGTTGCTCGACAGTTGGGCTCGTGGACTACTTAGACACAGGGCACGTCGTGCCTTAATTTCTCTACGCACGTACTGTGCTCAGGAAAGACATGCTAAAGTGGAAGCGTCTGGGTCCAAAGCAGGCAGACACAAGTGCAGTTCACTGGTAAATGCTTGGAGTGTTTGTTTCAGTTTTGGTATCAGTTTTGATTGTCGCCTTAGTTCCTTTCCTTGGCTTGAAACATTTTGGAACTGCTGGTTTCCAACTGATGCCTGCGATTCTTTGAGAGCTCAAAATTTCAGGAGAAGGTTGTGATGAATCTCAACAAGAAGAGGTACCGCGGGGACATTCTCATGATATTGACAGAATCATTTGTTCCTTCTGATTGCGGACTTCAGAGTGCTTGCAACCCTACCGAACTTGATACAGGATGCCGAGACCATTGAAACAGATTGATTAATACTGTACACAGCCGATAAAGTCATACTTAAACAATCTATTAATCTATTAATCAAATAGAACAATAAATATAATATAATTATAATTATTAATATTTAATTAATATGTATGTATATAATATTCTAGAGCTGCATATAAGATATATATATATACACAGTTAAGAGAATATTATCTTATCACTAATAAGGTATAACTATAAAATATATGGTTCTCAAAATTCAACAAATATCAATTATAACCATCAAAACAAAACAACTAATATATATATATAATATATAGTTATCTATATTATATGTATATATATTTATATGTTGGTGATCGATCTAAAGGTCCTTGTAAAGAGTTTTAATTGCGAAGACCTTTCATGTTATGCTGGGAACCCGCGCGAAAGTATTTTTGTTTATTTTTATTTTTGGCGAGTTTGCGAAAGTCAACTTTTTTATTCGCGAAAGTTTCGCGAAAGTTGGATTATGAATCATTATTATTTCATAATATTGTATGCATATACAGCTTGTTAAGGGCTACCACCTCCTGCCGCCCGGGGGTCAGGCAGGAGAAGGGTAACGCACATTTACATTTCCCTGCATAGGGAGCAGCCGAGCTTCCGAAGCTGAGGCTTCGCCGCAGCCAATATCATGGTCTTGAAGCGCATCCTTGGATCTGCCGCTGGTACTGCCTAACGTTGCTTTCTGAAGCCTCAAGAAACAAGCCCCAAATGCAGCAGCCAAGCTTCCAAAAGTGAGGCTTTGCGAGGGCCAAAGCGCCAAGGCCCCTGGTGTTTGCTTTTCCTTTGATGCGCCCCGTGCTGATGATGGCTGCGGATAGGAATATTTTCGCGAAAGTTCCGCGAAAGTTCTGCGAAGGAGCGGGCGAAAGTCAAAGTGCATTTTGCAGCGGGTGAGTGGCCCAGTTAGCCGGGGATTCCGTGATGCTAGCTGTATGTTTGCAAGGCTATAAAGAAACTAGGTATACATACATACATATACATACATATACATACATATACATACATATACATATATATATACATATATATACATACATATACATACATATACATACATATACATACATATACATACATATACATACATATACATACATATACATACATACACATACATACACATACATTCAAACATACATACATACACATGCATGCATGCATACATACATACATACATATACATACATATAGACCCTGGAATGCTGACTTGGCTTATTGATTGGAATACCAAACAAATTCACACACACATACATATATATTTATATTATATATATATATCAGGACTGTATTTTTACAACTCAATTTTGGATTTGGGCATATTTGGGCTTTGTTGACTGCATTTGTTCCGTTTGAGACGATATTTTTTTGTTTATGTGTTTGATTATGTAGTTATTTGCTTGTTTATTTCTTTGTTTAGTTATTTTATTTTACCTTATTTTTGAACTTTATTTTATTGAGATTTTTTTATTTCTCCATTTATTTATATATCTATACTAATGACAAAATATATAAAATATAAAATGGGTAATTTCGATTTTAATTTATATATTTTACGGCATCGGAACAATTTTATTATTTGAATTAAATTTGACAAATATATTATTAAAATATTTTTTATTGTGGAGGAGAAAGTATATTTTTGAAATTTTAACATAATTTATTCATTGTTTTCAATATATAGAATTTAATATGAATTTATTATTGTAGTTTTCCTAAAAGTTTGATTTTCAAATTATTAATATATTGATTTTGATAAATATATATTTTTCTTTTTTTGTTTTATCTTTTTTTGATTAATGGAGTGAAAAATAGTTTTTATATTTATTTTGATACTAGTAGTACCGCATAAGGCGGTGGCGGAAGTTTCAAAAATAGGAATCCTATAGGAGAGGTTGGTTGCTGTGAATTAGGGATGGCAGAGCGAATCCACTGATGGACCGAAAGGTGCTTGAGGTTTCCTCTCTTTCTCTCTCTTTCTCTGACTATCTACCTACCTACCTATCTATCTACCTACCTACCTACCTATCTATCTTCTATCTATCTATCTATCTATCTTTCTTTCTATCTATCTATCTATCTACCTATCTATCTATCTATCTCTCCCTCTCTCTCTCTCTATCTACCTTTCTATCTATCTATCTATTTATCTATCTATCTCTCTCTCTCTCTCTATCTCTCTCTCTCTATCTATCTATCTTTCTATCTATCTATCTATCTATCTGTCTATCTATCTATCTGTCTATCTATCTATCTATCTATCTCTCTCTCTCTCTCTCGTAGTTGTAGTTGTAGTGGAGTGTAGTGTAGTGTAATGTAGTGAAGTGTAGTGGAAGGTAGTGTAGTGTAATGTAGTGTGGTGTAGTGTAATGTAGTGGAGTGTAGTGGAGTCTAGTAGAGTGTAGTGGAGTGTAGTGGAGTGTAGTTGTGTAGTCGTAGTTGTAGTGTAGTGGAGTGTAGTGTAATGTAGTGAAGTGTAGTGGAAGGTAGTGGAGTGTAGTGTAATGTAGTGTAGTGTAATTATGTGTAATTTAGTGTAGTGGAGTGTAGTGGAGTCTAGTGGAGTGTAGTGGAGTGTAGTTGTGTAGTTGTAGTTGTAGTGTTGTGGAATGTAGTGTAATGTACTGTAGTGTAGTGGAGTGTATAGTGTAGTGGAGTGTATAGTGTAGTGAACCGAAGCGAAGCGTTTCGAAACCCCCTAGTGCATTTTGATTTCGACATGTGTTTCGCGCGACAACGGCGTGCACTTTTTCGATATCTCGACCTCCAAAAGTGGTCCGTACGAGGACTTGGAAATGTGGTTCGCGCTACAACGGCGTGTATTTTTTCGACATTTTAACTTCCAAAAGTGCTCCGACTATGGTGTGTCTTGTATATTTTGATTTCGAAATGTGCTTCGCGCGACAATGGCGTGCACTTTTTCGACATCTTAACTGCTAAAGTGGTCCGTACTTGGTGCGTTTTGTGCATTTTGAGTTGGAAATGTGCTTCGTGCCACAACGGCGTGCAATTTTTCATCTCTCATCTGGCCAGCTGGCTCCGTACCCGCCGCTTTAGCGAGCTTACTTTTCGCAGTGTTTCGCGACTTTCCTACCTTTTTACGCATCTGCATTTTCTTTCTTCTTACTCTTCTTTCTTCTAATTTTTCTCTTCTCTCTGTTTCTTCCCTGTTCTGCTTTTCATCTGTCTATATTGTCGGAAATTTGATTTCTAAATTTCCTTCGATAAATACATTATTATTTTTATAATATATGTTCTGATTTATAATAAATATTTAAAAAATTAAATTTAGATATTATTATTTTGAATATGTTGTTTATTTTTTTCCTTTTGAGATTCGAAAAATAATGAAAAAAAGGCCTACGCCTGACAGCCGGGCGCCGGCAGAGAAATGGCCGGACGTGCGTCCTTGTTCTGCGGACGTATAGTACGACTACGACTATTGCTACGACCACGACCACTACTACCACTACTACGGCTACTACAACTACAACTACTACTACTACTAGTACGACGACGACAACAACAACAACAACATCAACTACTACTACTACTACTACTACTACTACTGACTACTACTACTGACTACTACTACTGACTACTACTACTACTGACTACTACTACTGACTACTACTGCTACTACTACGACGACGACTAGAACTACTATGCGGACGAGGTCTACGAGTGTCTTGTCGTTGTTGCCGTTGTTAGTGTTCTTGTTCTTGTTGTTGTTGTTGTTGTTGTTTGTTGTTGGTTGTTGGTTGTTGGCTGTTGGTTGTTGGTTAATGGTTGGCTGTTGGCTGTTGGCTGTAGCTCTGGCTGTTGTTGTTGCTGTTGCTGTTCTTGTTGCTGTTGTTGTTGCTATTGTCGTTGTCGTTGCTGTTGTTGTTGTTGTTGCTGTTGTTGTTGTTGTTGATGTTGTTGTTGTTGCTGTTGTTGTTGTGGTTGTGGTTGTGGTTGTTGTTGTTGTTCTTGTTGTTCTTGTTGTTGTTGTTGTTCTTGTTGTTGATGTTGTTGCTAATGTTGTTGTTGTTGTTGTTGTGGTTGTTCTTGTTGTTCTTGTTGTTCTTGTTGTTCTTGTTGTTCTTGTTGTTCTTGTTGTTCTTGTTGTTCTTGTTGTTTTTGTTGTTCTTGTTGTTCTTGTTGTTCTTGTTGTTGTTCTTGTTGTTCTTGTTGTTTTTGTTGTTCTTGTTGTTCTTGTTGTTCTTGTTGTTCTTGTTGTTCTTGTCGTTGTTAATGTTATTGTTGTTATTATTGTTATTGTTATTATTATTGTTGTTATTATTTTTATTTTTGATAAAAATTAAAAAAAAGTAGGATGTGCATAGATGGTTGGGGATTTTTGTTGTTGTGGTTATGGTTGGTGTTATTGTCGTTGTTGTTGTTTTTGTTGTTGTGGTTGTTGTT